CTGAGATCTTATGTTGATTATCATTACTACTGAGCCTGTTGAGTATGAATCTCTCTCCCATTTAGAAACTTTTGATGTTTTTTTTGTAAAAAATTTTCATGGTCAAAACTCAGTAACACTGACTAGAGTATTTTGTGCCTGTTGGGTTGGAATTACATTTTTATTATTCAGGGTCTGTTCATTATCTTGGGTTTGTTCTTTTTTTTTTTTTTAAGTAGAAACTGTAAATCAATTGATCACAAAAGGAAAAAAAAAAAGGGTTACAACAGAAGAGGGGTGATAATTCCCTTCCATCCATGTGATAACGGGTTGTTCATTTTCTAGAGAAATAATTATCAAGGCATTAAAAGAGCATCATAATTTTCTCAGATTGTTGTGTTTTTTGTTCATTCACAGTTCCTGTTTCATATTTTTCTCTTAACTTTTCTGTAGGTGGAGAACGAGTCTGGTCTCTCAAACTTCATTCCTGTGCTCATTGGGGACGCAGAAACCTGCTCTGAATTGGAGACAATGCAGCAAAAACTAGACATGTCTCTTCTTTCGAAACAAATGCAGGCTGCGTCTGGCAGTTCTATTTGCAGCTTCTGTGAAGCTTTTGCACTGAGACATACAGCATACTCAGACTTACTGTTAGATATAGCATGGCTGCTTAAGGATCCTACTTCAGAAGATTTTCAGAGAGCCATGACAGCTTCACAAATTCAAAGATTTTGTTATTTGATAGACTTTCTGATGTGCAATGAATTAATGGTCATTTTGGAGAAAATATTACGGAATTTGAATATTTTGACTGAAAGCATGGAAATGAACAATGTGCTTAACAGAATGAGTGAGGCTGACGTGACATTATTGCTGAAACACACATGTCAAGCTAGAGAGTTCCTTTATCAGAAACATCAGAGGGGTGGAGATTTAGTCTTGCACTCTGTTTCTTCTGAAATGGAAGGCCGTAAAGTTGCTCCAAGCTGCTATCAAGATAACATACCATCAGTTGTCACTATCAGCAATCAGGTTTGGACCTTATTTTTTTAGTCTTTATATTCTATTGATAAATTATGAGGGCATTTTAGTTTTTAGATTGCTTTTCATTTGCACCTGATGGTGTTTTTGTTATATAAGGGAGAATAAAATTGGGTTGCTTGTGTTTAGATTGACGATAGATAACAGGTTAGTTTTAGTATAAGCTGCAGTAACTCCGCTCCAAACTAGAGGCAGTCGAATTGTTAGAGTTCTTGAGATTGTGGAATTTGTATTAGACCTGAATACCTGATGACCTGACCATGCGTATTAAATCTGAAGTATTATGTGGCACTAGAAGTGATCTGAGTTAACTTGATTTTGAAATATGTGTGAAACTGACACAACTTTAATTAAAGGAGGAGGGAGGCAGACAGAATGCCATTGTAGGGGAGCAGTGATTATGTATAGAGCAGTTAACATAATCAGAAAGTTTTTATCCCTTGATGGAAGCTGGCAATCATGTAAATCTTGAACGTTTAAACTGTGCTCTTGCAGCTCATGTTGGGGATCTTATACTAATTTGCCTCTTTGTGGGCAATCAAGCTCTCTGTTGATGTTTCGGTGCTTTTGATCTCCACTACAAATTATGTACGGTTTCATTCATGATATTATTATCAATATCAATATTATCATCAATTTAAAATAGAATAAGTAAAAGTCTCACTATTTAAAAGCCATGAAGAATGTGACTTTTTGTTGTCTTCATGCATTAGAGGGCCATTCAGCTGTTTAAAACGATTTAGCTTTTTCGATGTCAATTTCCCAGAAGTTGCTTCTCGTTAAACAATCCTTGCCATCAAATCTACGCAGTCTACAAGGGTTTTGTACTAATCATAGTATCATGCAAGATATAGTGATATTGATTTGGAAACTCAAATGTATTTTCTTCGTTGATATAATTTGCAGGGTGCCGAGTCAAGGGCAGATGCTAAATTGGGGGTGAGAAGTCCAATCTGGGCTGACAAAAGTGAAAGGATACCTCTTTTGGGTAGTGATATTATAATGAACATGGAAGAGTTGCCTCCTCCATTTGGTTATCGACATCTTGCTAGGGGATTCTTGTGCTCACGGCCGGCCATTCTCATGATTGCTTCAGTTGCTGTGTGTCTTGGGGTTTGTGCTGCCCTCCTTCATCCTGGGAGGGTTGGTGAGTTCGCAGTATCCATTAGAAGGTGCCTGTTCAGCAATTCATAGATGGATCAAATTTTGCGGGTGGTTACTGGGTTGGTACATATTTGTTGTACACTAAACACAACAAAAATATGGTATAGGGTTGTTATCATTAGTGAGTTAATTTAGATAGAAATTATAAGCTTAATTTTTGGGTTCTAATTTGTGTCATATCACTTGAATTGGACGGACGTTCATGCCCGACAAGTGCTAATTAATTGTGATCATGACCACTTGAATTCCATGCAATAATGGGAATTTAGTCAACTTCTTGTACAATTCTTGCTATAGTTTGGGATTTAATCCATTCGATTGGTAGCTTACTATGTGCATCTTGACAAGAGAAGAGAGAGGGCAAAGCCATATCCGACGGCTCTCGGATACATCCAAACACCATCTGTGATCCAAGTCAAGTTCATTATCAGAGTTCATTTACGGAGGGGCTACGTGAAATGATTTCATTTAGTTTAGTGAGTTGATAGGTGTATTTGAAGTAATATATGTGAATTCAGAAGTAGATTGAAAAGAAGTAAAAATTTGGATTAAAATTAATAGAATACTACGTTAAAATAAAATTAAAATCGATAAAAGAAGCAGGGGTGTGATCGCATGGTGGAGATTCGATCAGTATCTTTCATTTTAGATCTCAAAGATCCGAATTTTGAACGCAATTTTATAAATAACATATCATCATCACCTAATCAAATTTGGACACAATAAGCTATGACAGAGTTTCCGATCACACCGAACAATCAACAAGGCAATGCAAATTATTAACGTGTGATGACGCCGTGGTCCCTTATTTTTTCTTTAAAAAAAATTGTTCGTTCATGGATTGATTTTCCATGTCATCTTCCATCTTCCATTTTTGGCCGGTTTCTGAGATTAGTCTCAAGAAAAGAAAAAAATAAAAAAATAAAAAAGAAATGTAACCATAAAAGGCTAAATGGGATCTAATGATTTTGCTTGATTAATTGGACGTAATCATAATTATGGCATATAAATTGCATGAATATGACTAAACAGCCGATAATAGAGACAAGTCAGACAACTTGAATCCATAATGAAGACTGATATAGAATATTAGAATATACTACTACATTATACCAATATATATCCACGACAGACGTCACGTGTTTGAAAAAAATGCTAAGAAATTAGTGTCCAGAAGCTCAAAACAAGTTGTCTTTGTCGCTTGTCCTATAAGCATGGAGAAAGGAACTCTTAATAAGGAATAATAATTAAGAAGCAAGTGGGTCATATCACATGATAATATTTTGTTTTATAATAAGTAATGATATTTATTTAGTGCTTTTTGGATAAATTGTCTCAAAATACCTATGCTTATCAAAAACAGAAATAAAGTAGTATGATATTCGGGGGATTAGAAAGTATCAATACTCAGAATGTTTCACAAGATCAACAAAAGCTAAATGCATATTAATTATTTTTATACTTGAATTTTAGTTATTTATTTCAAAGGAATACACATATATATATGGCTTCAAAGTTAGGTTATAAATTACTACCTCCATTTCTAAATATAGAATTTAGTTTGTACTGTAAATTACATTATAAGCTAGAATTTACAGTAAGAACATGAACATGAGATAAAATTACATTATAAGAACATAAACATGAGATAGTATAATGCAAAAAGCTTAGGTTATGACTATGTTTAACTGTTCAATCATTAACTTGGTCAATTTTAGTTTTTATGCATTTTATGAACAAATTAATATTTCAATATAAGATATAAAAGCTCTAACAAGACATATCCTTTAGGCAATATTTTTTTCAAAAAAAGTTGTTTAATACTACAAAAGGGAACAGGTAGGATAGTCTAATCTAATGGCGATCGACCATTATTGAAGAACCAAATTTCTTAATCCAAAAAGCTGACCACTTGCAAGCCATAAGAAAAAACAATGAAGGCCACTTGCAGTTGAAACACGAGAACAGGCTATCTCCACACACAAACTCATACTATATTCTTTGTTGACAAAAACCACAGACTCACACTTGTACTCACCTTCCATCCTACTAAGAACCACCTAAGCTATCCTCAATAAACTACACCAATCATGTGCGTGCGTGTGTGTGTGTGTGTGTGTGTGTTCTCACCTTCTAATCTATTTCCTGCACGTCTTCCCGTTTCTTAAATAATCATAATATTTAACTAATCATCACACATCATATATATAATGCATATATTTGTATGAAGAGGGAGTTTTCCCGTGAAGATATATACTTCATCATATGGTCCATTTAGATTGAATAAACATCAGAAGTGATGAGTTTTTTTTTTGGCTGTACGTAGGTCAAAAAAAGTGTATGCAGGCTTTGATATTTGTCCCCTTTCTTTCTTATTATATTTTCCCACCCGCAAGATCTACTTACTATTTCTATATTATAAACTGAAAGAGCAAAAAAGAACACAAATTTCTAGCTAGGTTCTGAGGTTGTCTAAATTGGCCTGTTGTCATCACCGCCACGTCAGTGACAGCTGCAATATTCCTACATATATGCTTCTAACCTCCCATTATTTGCATGCCCTTTTCTCTCTCAATTTTAGTAGAAATACATAGCAACCACATGATGAATACTGATATATATATATATATATATATTAGTTTATGGTACACGTAATATATGTATAAATAGCACACATCTCAGACCACGTTCTGCATGCTCTCCATCTGTTTGCAATATTGGTCTCTTTGAGTTCTCGGGGTTTAGGCAGTTATTTTTGTCTCGTGCCCTTTATTTATTTGTAGGCTATATAGTCTTTAATTTGTTTAGAAATTAAAATGGGAATTGAACAGTACAAGGACGTTGAAAGTGGAGAAGCAGTCAATGGGCTTCAGGATTTGCAACAACCTTTCATCCAACAAGGACACAAAACAGCAGCTTCAGAATGTAGAGATGGTGAAGCTGACAAAAGGGTTGAAAATGGATCCATTGCGATGGTTTTACTCAGCACCTTTGTGGCTGTTTGTGGTTCCCTCTCTTTTGGAACTTGTGTAAGTCTATGTTATTGCTTCCTCTCAACTGATTAAAATGATCACTGATTGACCTCTCACTATATCTTTTGCCTTTCAAATTGTGATCCATATGGGCCTAAGAAAATATATACAGTTTACTACTGAATGTGAGAAAAGTTTTTGTATTTTTGGCTTATTAAGCTACTATTATGCCATCAGGTTGGGTATTCAGCACCCACTCAAGCGGCTATCAGAGCAGATCTTAAACTTTCCCTTGCTGAGGTTTAATTTGTAACTTTTGTTTCTCCTCGTTATTCATATATATTTCGATCTCATATTATTATACGTGTAGAGCCTAATAACTTATTCTAAAATGGATTGGCAGTATTCCATGTTTGGTTCTTTGGTAACCATTGGAGCAATGCTGGGGGCTGTAACTAGTGGCCGGGTTGCAGACTTCATGGGCAGGAAAGGGGTATGTTTTATCTAAAAGTACAAAAAAAATTATATTCATCTTTAGAGAGAGGGCCTCGAAGCAACAGTAATGTTGTTACCATCTGACCTGGAGGTCATGGGTTCAAATCTTAACAATACCTAAACCTCACTTGATGGTAACCTTGTGCACCGGGCTACTTTTTTAGTTTTATTATCAAGTTTTTAAACAGATATGCATGTGATGTTGAATGTGTACTGGTTATGTATGTGCGTATATTTTATTGGAGGACTCATAATTAAAAACTATTTGTCCTAATCCAAATATCTCAAATCATAAAGTTAATTTCAATGTTCATGGGAAACAGGCAATGAGAATGTCATCAGGCTTTTGCATCACTGGATGGTTAGCTATCTTCTTCTCAAAGGTGTGTGTGTGTGTGTGTCTATATCTGCCTAATTCAAGCTCATCTCTTTCCTCACCTCTTAATATAATTGAACTATTGTATTCCAAAGGGACTCATGTGTTCTATTCAATATAAATATATATATATATATATATATATTGCAGGGTTCTTTCTCACTTGACCTGGGAAGATTTTTCACGGGTTATGGAATCGGAGTTATCTCATATGTGGTAATTAATAGTATATAACCATAATGAACTTTTGTTTGTTTATCATTTTCTTTTGGTGCTATAGCTAGCTGGTGATTTTTGGACCAATTTGTGTGAACTATAATGAATAATGATTACGCCTTTACACCTTTATAGTGAGTTTGGTGGCAAGTTATCCGCGTATTGAATAAGGTATAAGGATTTTTCGCAAAGGGAGAAAAACAATGGGGGTCCTGTTAATTTAGTCTTAGATTATGCTTGGTAGGCCAAAAAGATTATCAAGTGAGAGAAAAATGAAATTAAAAAAAAAAAAAAACTAGATAGGGAATAAAAAGATGATGACAAGTTTTTTTTTTTTTTGGGCCAGAAAAATTGTCAATTTTATTAATGAAGAACAATTACACTCACTAATCCATAAAAAGAAAACTATTCAGATACAACATAAACCAGAAAGCCACAGCAAAATCCTAAATACTAACCAACAGGAAAACAAAGCACATTCGAGGAGAGAAATTACTATTTAGTATGCTTCCCTGAGCAATTTTGATTTTTTACGATTGAATTCCATAAAATACAGTAGCATCCTTTCTATTCATGATGGAATCCTTCAAAATCCAAATTGTTCTATCAGAATAAGCTTAAGAATGACATTCTCTCACACCAAACAACTTCTCTCCCTTCAGCTCTTCAATGGACCAATCAGGTGGAGATCACTTGTATTTGCTTTTATGTAGAACGTTTGAACTCAATCATGTATGGTTCTAATGATTATACTCTTATCTTTCTTCTTGGTCAATAATATATTTCAAAATCTTAAAAATAACAGAAAAACTGGAACAGGTTCCTGTATATATAGCAGAAATCGCACCCAAAAACCTTCGAGGAGGGCTTGCAACAACAAACCAGGTGAGTGAGTGTAATATGTATTGTTATACTTTTATTATTCTCTAAAGTAATGCTAGTGTTTAGTAGAATATTGACCTTGAGGTTTGATGATTCTGATCCTTTTTCAGCTTATGATTGTTATTGGATCATCAATCTCATTCTTAATGGGAAGTATAGTAACTTGGAGGACACTGGCCCTATCTGGTAAGTTATAACATTATGGTCGTTAACTGTCTTATAAAGTGAAGCCAGTTATGGAACAAAATGGTTTGACTGTTGGTTTGATTTCAACTTTGTAGGGCTCATGCCGCTCATTTCCTTGTTGATTGGTCTGTGCTTTATCCCAGAGTCACCCAGATGGCTGGTAACAACTTGTTTTCTCAAACACCTTTAGAAACATACTTATAAGATGCTTGAATATAAAAAAATTAAAAATAAAATAAAATTCAGGTAGTGGGTATGTCCTGAACAATATAGATATTTCTATATATGTCCAGCCCAAATATTTCATAGATATGTTTTTACGGTTATAAAAAATTTGGATAGCTATGTGCTAAAAGCCTAAAAACACTAAATTAAAATGTTTACAGGCAAAGGTTGGTCGTGAAAAAGACTTTCTAGCAGCTTTAGGCAGACTTCGTGGCAAAGATACTGACATCTCTGAGGAAGCTGCTGAAATTCAGGTGCTTTCTAAGCTTCCTTAATTGATTGAACAACTTTTGCTGGAATCTACAAAATTTTATCAGTGTTGCATGTTTGAGGAGCTGATTCAATATTGTTTCCTGACAGGATTATATTGCAACTCTTGAAAGCCTTCCCAAAGCCCAGTTTCTGGATTTGTTCCAAGGCAAACATGTCCGCTCAGTAGTTGTAAGCAACATAATTTTCCCATGGAAGTTTGAATACCTGAGAAATATTTAAATAGAGTTGATTTACAAAAAAGTTCTAAGCCAAAACAACTATACTAAACATATAGGCACGTTGAACAAAATGTTTCAAGAGGCTCATGTTTGACATAGTGACATGCTTATAGGTTTATTCATAACTAGCTACAGTTTATATGACTACTTAAAGGGATCTAATTTCTAACCTCCTGCACTAATTGCAGATTGGGGTTGGAATAATGGTTTGTCAACAATCTGTGGGAATCAATGGTATAGGATTCTATGCAGCTGAGACATTTGTTGCTGCTGGTAAGTGAGAAAAAATATATATGATGATTTCAAAAAATAACTGATTTATTTATTTTTCCTTTTATATTTATTCCCGTATAACTGGATTTGCAGGACTTTCTTCATCCAACATTGGTACCATAGGCTATGCTTGTATACAGGTAGTTGATCCTCTCACTAGTCTTTCAAACATGAATCATTTATAACTTCATTTCTCTGTTTGAACTTTTTCTATTAAAACGAATGATAGATTCCAATCACTCTATTGGGAGCCATTTTGATGGACAAGTCAGGAAGAAGACCTCTTATAATGGTAAATTGGTCATTAGTCATGCAATTTGCCTTACCATCTAAACAGGAATTAGTATAGGAGCATTGATGCTTAGTAAAACTGCTTATACAATTGCAGGTTTCTGCAAGTGGGACATTCCTAGGATGCTTTATCACTGGAATTGCGTTCCTTCTCAAAGTAAGTCTTTAGTATCATATCTTAACCAGTTTCTGTTGTGTGTTTGTTGTGTGTTAAAATGTAAAATCCGGGTTTCTGTCTCATGGATCAGGGACAGAGTTTACTGCTTGAGTGGGTACCAATGTTAGCTGTTGCTGGAGTGCTGGTAAGTCTTCTTCTTTAGCTGTTGATATTGTTATTGAATATTTTCTTTATTTCCACTTAGGTTCAGGTTTATTGTTTCATCTTTTTGCCCCTGCTTGCATCAGATCTATATTGCAGCATTTTCAATTGGAATGGGATCGGTGCCTTGGGTGATTATGTCTGAGGTATGTATCTCTTTACACCATCATCTCCCATGATTTTGGCTTTTGCGGCATAGCTTTCAAGAACAAAAAGTCAATTCTGAGATTGTTGCTATTAGTATATTTTCCCATAAAACTTTTGTTTGTATTTGGTACAATCGACGAAACAAAAGCTTTCACTGAGAACATTTTACAAACCATCCAATGGAAAATGACAAGATGGGGGACATAGGGAAGAGGGAAGCCTAAAAAGCATGGAACCCTGAATTTTCAGTCTTCAATGGACAAGCAATACAGAAAATCTATAAATATTTTGATGGAATGAAAGTAACGAAGCAGCTGAATCCTTTCTAGCAACGGAAGGGTCCAGTGATGAGATAGTGAAGAATTCATACGGATCTAAAGAAAAAAATCTAATAATAGTTTTTGTTATGGCAGATATTTCCCATAAATGTGAAGGGAATTGCTGGAAGCTTGGTGGTTTTGGTGACCTGGTTAGGAGCTTGGATAGTTTCATACACTTACAACTTTCTCATGAGTTGGAATGCTCCTGGTTAGTACTTACTAGTCAACACTTATGAAGCAAAAATACTATAAAAAAGCACAGCTTTATTGTGCTTGATACAAGAAAGTTGATCTTGACACTGCATATTTTGTCCATCAGGGAGCATTTTAGGTTAGAATAGTAATGTCCATGTTCCATTCAGTAATCAGTAATATGTGACTGAACTCTGGTATTGTGTTAGGTACTTTATTCTTGTATGCTGGATGTTCCCTGGTGACCATTCTGTTTGTGGCGAAGTTTGTCCCAGAAACAAAAGGGAAAACACTAGAAGAGATTCAGGCATCCATCAATTCATAGGCCCAACTGCTCTTAATAATACCGTGATAGTCTCATCATCTATCAAATTCTTTGAAATCCATTTGAATTAATGGATGGGATTGCCAAGAAAGAAGGCTTTCCGTACAAGATCCCATGGCTTGAGGGGTGTGATACAAATGTATCCACCATATTACAAGTCATTGTTGATATGTGTTAAATGTTGCAAGCTCTCTATGAGCCAATTTTCCATAGAATTTTTATTAATTAATATGTCATCAAGTTTATTTTTCAGCTCTACTTATCTAAAAAGTAGAGCTACCATTAATAAATATATATTTAGTGTTTGTCAAATGAATAATAAATATATGTTTTTGGTCTTTCCTTAAAAAAGGTAGGGAGAATGACAAAAAAGAAGCTAGAAATTATTAAATTTTCAATTAAGTTTGGTAACAACACTTCATTTGGTATTAACAACATTAAATTTGCAAATAATAACAAATTTTTGTTGATATTTATAAATTTTTAACTTCTTTTTTTATCGTTTTTTCAAAAAGATAATGGAGTATTATTAAAAATAAAAACCCAATAATATAATAAAAATGCTATTAAAAATTAATTTAGTACATAGTCATATCAATTTACGTCACAGTTACTATGAGTATGAACTAATTTGCTAGAAAAAGGCTTCAAAATTTTCATTATCCGACTGCATCTTTTGAAAACGGGGTGCTCATTGTGAGAAACATATATTGTCTGAAGGAGAAAAATAACCATTTTCCAATTAAAATTTTTTTAAATTGAATTTTGACTTCTAGTGAATGAACGAATGATGTGGCAAAAGCAAATCTTGGCACAGTATAAGGAGCAAAAGAAGATCTAGTTTGCAGTAGCTGTCCGGTGTCACCGTTTTTCGGCCCAGAAGAAGTTTCAGAGCTTCATTGAAGAAGAACAAGAGAGCCAAACGCTATATTTGGATGGCGTCGTCTACATCGAGGATTGCTTTCCGCATTGTCTTGATCGTTCTATTCTTTCTTCTTCTCTTCTACATGGGTCGCCCTCTCTACTGGAAAATCTCCGCCACCATACATGATATCCGCCAGAACAAACAGACCGTCCGAGAAGGTACCATTGTCTCCTTTCCTAATATCTTCTATGTGTGTTCAATTTCATGATTTTTTGAAATAATCTTTATACATGCTTGTCCCTGTCCAGGTCTTTCTCAGATCGTTATGGAAGCTCAGAGATCGGTGGGTTGGTACCGCGACGAGTTCGACTCGGGGGTTCGTGCTACTACCCGGAAGCTGCTTCTGGATCAGGTTTATCGAAGGGTTGTTGGTTGATTTGAGAATTTCTAAGGGAAAAAAAAAAGTTGGAAATAAGAGAGGGGGTTTTGTCTTTTTCGAGATTTGGTGATCTAGTTAGTTTATTTTATCGGTGATAATAGAGGTAGAGGTATCTTATTGAAGTAGCTGATGAATGTAGAATGCTAGATTGGAGACATTCTGGGCAAAATAAAATATGAATGTTTACTTCATTGTTGATAGTGGAATAAAGGTTGTTAGTTTCTGAGTTTTGCGCAGTGAAATAGACTGGTCACTTCTGATAACTAGTGCCCCTTTAAGTTTTAAAAGGGTAAGCTACTAACCAAAGTATATATTGAAACGCGCTAATGCTTGAGTCATATCCCTTCATCCTACCCTGAGAAAAACATGGAGTGATTCGGACGGAGATTGTGGGTTCTGAACTCATACAATACGTGTAGTCAGAACGAATCGGTGTTAAAAAAAATAAAAAAAATCCAGTTCCATTCAATTATTATCTTGCAAATATCATTCAAAGCACCCCTCTTGGATTTATTCAACTTCATTAATTTAGGTTCTAAGGCAGGGTTTATCTCTCCTATTTCTGGGTTGAGTCGGTGCCTTCCCTACATCTGGCTTATATTCTGCGTGAGCTATGTTATGAACAACTCCGAGCACTTGTCTAAATGTCAAAACTGAAGCATTGTCTGAAACTTTACAGCTAGGTGTATGGTTTCATCAAAGCATAAGCATTGTTTGTCTTTCATGTTTGTCTTAACATATTGGGGAATGTGGCGATGGTGAAAATCTTCTTGTGTGAGGCTGAGCTTTGCAGGTATGGTTTCGTCATCATCTGTGTTGGCTTTTACCTTCATTTATTTGTAATTGAATCTGGCAAATTGAGCCCAAAAGCTTGTAAAGTTTGGGGATTAAATAGGCTCAGTAACACAAGTAGAAACTGGATTTGCTTATCATTTGAGTGGCTGAATACAACATACTACTTCCAGTCCTAATTATAAGAGCTAGTTGACTAATTTGAGGAGATTAAGGAAGTAAGTTGAATTAGTTATTTGTCCTAAATAGATGTTGTTTTTCCTAAAATATTCTTACTAATCAAATGTATTGACTAGAATTATCATTGTTAGAAGGACTATTTTGAAAAAAAATGTATAAATATAAGAAACAAAATGAATTGGGGTATTATATTTAGGATCAAAATAAAAGTCAAACATAATATTATATTAAGGATAGGAGGTAGTACTACATTATTGGGAATAACACGAGGATGTTAAGGTCAAGACTTATATAAGCTTATTCTTTTGGGGAGTGGAAGCTTGGAGTGATCTATAGGAGTGACTGCGGGAAGGGAATATCAGTTAATGATGGCTTTGTCCAATTAAGAGCTTTTCAGGTGTGCAAGTTTTCAAGTCGTTTAATGGGTATGTGGATTCCTTTCATATGAGTCATTGACTTCATCTGGGGTTTGGTCTACGAGAGATTCAGCTTTTGTGTCCCAAAGATATTGAATTGAACCTTGTCTAGGCTTTATCTATATTATATCAGACTTTCTGCACCAATAATCATAAATGGGTGTAGGAGAAATTCTTGCATACACCCAGCGTACCACCTCATTTGTACACTGGCCAGTCATATTTTGACAGCTTGATGAATATTTATCCTACTTGTCAGTCTGCATGTCACTCCTCTCCCTCTATTATTTTAATTATTGTTTTTTGACATACGTGCTCCTTTATTTTCTTTTTTTCCTTCTCTCTCCTGTCTGCAAAATTTTTTTCAAAAACTTTCATTTTCCCTCTCTGGCTCTCTCCGTCTCAGTGCCCCACTCCTCCCATCTCTCTTCCCTCTCTCAAGTACCGCCATTTCTCCCCTCTCCCTCTCTCAAGCAAGTGGATATCATGAGACCCACCTCCATCGGAGTACAGGAGAGTGGCCTAAACTGCCGATGCCAGCTGAAAAATGTGGCGCTCCACGGAGGGATCAGAGTGTGCGCCGATCGTGGCCGCTGCCTCACCGCCTCTGAAAAGTGATGACGCTAATGTCTAAGCTTGGTGAGCTAGTAGTCGGTGACTAGCATGTGGATGCCAGAGGAGGTATAGAACAAAATACTGATTTCTCACAGGCCGGAAACTTCTCTTTCTTTTTCATATTTTCCGAACAAATCAGACACCATATGGGAGAGAGAGATGGAGGGGAGGGGAGAAAAGACATGAGCAGCGAAACCCACAAACACATGAAGAGTGATTTATCAGAACCTCCACAGGGCCTCTTACCGCGACAAGATCATATATGAGAGATGGAGGGAATGAGGGAAGGCCGGAAGGGAAAGACGAAAGAGAGGGTGGCGTGGTGGCGGAAGAGAGATGGGAGGAGCGGCGGCAAATAAGGGAGGGAGAGTGAAATTTTTTTTTTTTGTTAAATTGCAGATGGGAGAGAGGACAGAAGAAAGAGACAATAAAAAAACACATATTACTAAAAAAATTTAAATAATAAACAGGGAAGGTGTCACGTTGGCGGACAAATAGGATAGAGATTCCTTGAGCTGTCAAAATGTTACTGGCCAGTGCACAAATGAGATGGTACGCTGGGTGTATGCAAGAATTTCTCATGGGTGTAGATAGTACAAATCAATGCAATCCGATCATGTTATGAAAAAGTGCAATTAACAATTCAAGAAATCATGATCTTCATTCTAGCAAGTTAGATGGACAAGTGTTATTGGCGTCTGCATTAATGGGTCTTCTTTTCTACTTTAAGGCCCATATCTTTCTGAAGTTTACTCTGACATGCTTGGGGAAATCCAAAGCAACATTTTTGGATTTGTATCTTCGTCTGAGAAAGATAGTGATGATGAACCCTATTTATTTTATTTTTGCCTTTTTTTATAAAGGGATTTAAAACCAGAAAGAAAGGCTGTTGACTATATTTATTTCCCTGCTTTTTTTAAACTAGCTTTGGTGAAAAAATAAAAGAAAAGAAATGAGTGACAACAAAAATTAATATAATTCTTAGATTTCGTGGGGTCTAAATCGCAATGCAGCTGTACATTCTGTTACAGAAATTAGCTGTGTAACATTCTAAATTTTATTTTAGGATTTATGCAAAAAAAATAATAATAATAAAAATAAAAAATAAAATAAACAATATTATATTATTATAAAATAATAAAATTTTATTGTTAAAAAAAAAAAAGAAAAAGCAGAGGAATAATCTTCCAAATGTTTGGTGGAAAGTTAGAAAGAAATTTATTAAGGGAAGCTTCTCTTAATAAATGTGTGGAGGGCATTAAATATACCCCATACTCTGTTTTTCTTCGTCCACGCAAGAGAGAAAGAGAGAGAGAGAGAAAGGAACAGATCAGCTAATAAATATGTGGAGGGCACTAAATATACCCCCACACTCTATTTTTCTTCATCCGCGCAAGAGAGAAAGAGTAAGGAGTAGATCAGCGGTCATTGTGAAGAAGAAGGCAAGTTTTGAAGATGATTTAGGTACATAGAATTACTTCTTTTCATCAAAATTTCTTCATGAATATTTTTTTATATATTTTAAGCTTTCTAATGACAGTATTACTATAATAATTAGAGAAAATTTTGAGATTTAGGTATGGGGTAAGTATTGAGTTTTGATAATAGATGGCCATAGAAATTTAGAGGTGAATTAGTAGTCAATTTTAATTGATTTAGATTTGTCCATTTGTTGGTTTTTAGTATCTAAATTAATTTTTTTTAGTTAAAAAATTTGTTATTTATGATATATCATAATTTTACCAATAAAAATTAAGTTAAATAATTTATTTGGATTGTTTGACATATTATTGAGATTTTAATCGATTTAGAATGTTGAAAATGTTGAGGATATATTATTAAAAAAATTTTAAAATTTGAAGCTTAACTTATAAATTAAGAATTTTATACAATAAAATAAAATAAAATTAGAAATTTAACTAAAATGTATAAACTTAATTAATTAATTGATTAGCTTATATTAATATATGGTCATATTAATTGTGTAGATTAATTATTGGTTGAGCAAGGGATTGACCTTGTGATAATCCTTTTTATTGCTTTGATGAGAGATAACTACTTTCCACTTGTTATATGTGCTAATATGTTGTTTGTAAGTATTTTAATATTTTGAAATAATGATGTGCTATTTGAAACTCAAAGAGATATGTTATATTTTTTGAACTATGAAAATTGTCATGTGAAATTTTTGGAATTATGACTGAGCCATTTGGAAAAATATATTATTTATATCTTATGGATTCTATTGAGAAAAGATTGAAATATTTCTCGTTACATTGTAAATGATTGGTTGTTATTTGGATTTTGAGTTGAGTCATTTTCTATCACGTGATAAGACTGCCAATAGTGCACATTGGTTGGCTTTCTTCATCCTCCATAGTGAGAGATAGGCCCTTGTGGCTTCTTATTCGTCCATCAAAGTAAGGGATAGGCCTATATATCTTATTGATCTCATATAGTAAGGGATAGACTTATATGGCTTGTATATTAGCCCCCCATAGTGAGGATTTGGATGATTGAGAATTAATAACTGTCCCACTTGACACCCCACGAGCAAATGTTAGTATGTATGATGAGTTGGAAAGTTGGTTACTGAGACTTTTGTCTCACCCCATGGTTTCTACTATCTTTAAGTGATAGTTCAGGTAGTGATCCATCAAGGAAGGTTTCAGAGGCTTAGTGTGCTGTTATAGCTTGTATAGCCTCCCTTCTTTTGTTTTATGTGCGGATTAATTATATATTACCACATAGAACTCATCTACTCTAATGTTGTAAACTAATACTTTTAATTGCTGCTATTTGATGGGAGGGCCGTTAGGAGGCCAAAGACATCTAAGACTTTGTATGTGACTAGGAGTGAGCAAATTAAAACCAAAACCAAAAACTGAACCGAACTGAATCTAATTTGGTTTTTTCGGTTCGATTAATTCGATTTTCGCTTTCTATTTACACAAATTTTGGTTTTTGGTTTTCGGTGCGGTTGGTGTTTAAAAGATTCGGTTTTAACCGAATAATCGAAATTGAAAAAGAAAACATGGGCCATCATGTTATATGTTTCCTTGTCTCTTCCCAAGTCCAAAATCCAAGCCCAACATATTAAAATTATTTTTTAAAAAATGTTGCGGTGCTACTGTGACCTAAATCCAAAATAGAAGTTCTCTGCTCCCCAAATCTCTCTTTGTTTGCGTAAATCTCCAACCAACTCTCCACCATCTCCATTCTCTCATGCATTGCAAAATCAATGCATATCGCTTGACAGGTGAACGAACACTTTGGGTAGGATGGTGGTAGATCGAAGTGAAGGTGAAGGTAACACAGTCACAGTCACCGTCACCGTCACCATCCTCGCCCTCCTGTGTCCGCTTGACATTGCCGTTGCCTTTGCACTCTATCCTCACAAGCTTCGAGTACCTTTCTTTCTGCTCATCCATTCCTCTTATTCTGCTCAAGTTTTTCTCCATTTGTTTGGAGTCAAGCACACTATATTTGAATTTTAGAGCTGAAACCTTTCAATATTTGATCCCATTATTGGGTATTTGAAGCTACTTTTGTCATACCATATTCTAAATTCTGTGTTAAAATCTTTGGTGCTCAGATTTTCATCTTTGTTATTAGATGGATGATGACGTGTTGTTATCGATTGAAATATGGAATCCAAATTTTGTGCATTTGTTACCTTGAATTGGCTATTCCCATTCTCTTCAGTAAAATAGAGCCTTCCTTCTTTATTTTTTGTTTTAATTTTTCTTATTTTCTAGCAAGTTCCAGGAAGGGATATAGACGTTGTATGTTTATACTCTTTTAAGTTGTTTAGACAATGTATTATGCTTCTTTCAATCTTGTTGAGATTGTTTAGTTTGTGTTTTGCATTTAGCTTTGCTTGTTGAGAATTTAGAAATTCTAATTGGATTGAAAAGTTAAAAAAAGAAGAAGCCTAAAATCGATCAAAAGACCGAAGACCGAACCCAAATATTTCGGTTCATTCGGTTCGGTTAATCTCCATTGATCGGTTTCGGTTTGGTTACAAAAATTCATCCAAGTCAGTTTTTGGTTTTTTCGGTTTTTACCGAAAACCGAACCAAAGACCGAATATTCACCCCTACATGTGACACTTTTTTGAAAGTGTTGACTTTTGACTAATGTATTCCATAGTTTATTTTAAAATGATTTATCAGTTCGTATGTTTGAAAGTATGAGCTTTGTTTGGACTAATGGTTGAATGGTATTTCTGGACTTTAGAAGTCCAAAACTCAAGTTAATGATTGATATTGCTTGTGATATAAATTTATTCCTTTTAACTATGATAGTGATTTTATAATTTTAAGGTTTTTTTTTAATCATGGTTAATCTTTTAAATAAATTATTTGATTTAATCTAAATGGTTTTTTTTTTAAAAAAAGAATGGTCTTCACAGTTTGGTATCACAAGCTGCATGTGGCACAATATATTCATTCACAAACGTTCTAACAAACTCATATATATCAATAACCTGTCAGTGGATAGGACACGAAAGCGTTGAGTTACAACTACCCCATTCACATCACAAACCATTCTCCAAACTGCTCATAAAACAATCACAAAGCTCTTTATAACATACAAAATGTGTGTTCATTTTACGGAATAAACTGTTCTCCATCTTACCATTTCTCATCTCAATCAATATAGATCATAGAGCTCCGCGAAAGATACAGTACGTTTCAGTGATGAGTACAGCTATCTATTTGCACAATTTTTCTTTTAAAAATTAAAATGGTTATGTTTTGGAACAATGGTAACCAAGTTATGTATAGATCAGGTTTCTCAAAATAAACCTTTTTTTGTTACTTAAAAAGATTAAACTCAATAAGTCGGTGGGCACCAACTAAGCAGCCAAATTTACTAACTTTTGGGTGGTTGCTTAATGCATTTTAAACGTTGCCCGACACAATAAACCAACAAAAAGAATTCATAATTATGCAATATAGACAAAGCTTGACAATCAAACGTTACCCCACATAACCGTGCCTGCAATTTCATAGATCTCTTTCTTAGGCCATGACCCAATCTGCATTAATCTTAAATCTATTTCTGTTCAAATATGCCAACTTTCCCATAAACCCCCCCAATTCCGAAAAGTCATGCCACCATTTATAAACGTCCAAACGAATAAATCACAATGTGACCTTACATTACAGCTGCCATGTTAAAAAATGTTGAAGTCGAACATCGAAATCAGCACCAACCAACCATAGTATATTCTATTGTATAATATGTAAATAATTTTTTTTTTGGGTGTAAAGAATCTAATAAATAAAAAGTCTGGTAAGTTGTTAATATGTCATGGCCTGTTATTATTTCTTATATAAGATCTTGTCGTTAACATGTTACTTACTTATTATGAAATTTTAGTGATTATTTAATTATGTGAGACTATACAATAATTTACATCAATAAACACGATTTTTCTTCCCCACATACAAGTACAAACATTTCAACAATTTTGAAGTCAAAATTAATGTCCTCTTTCTCACCACATGCCTGGAAACTGCCCTCAGTTTATTATATCTGTTTTTCAATCTTGGACGACTTTCTATTTTAATCTAATGACATCAAACGCCTCCCTAATTAAATATCTCTTGTTTTTTTTGTCAGTACCTTCCTTAAATATCTCTTAAACATGATGAAGATGTGAGTTCGAATTGATATAATTACACAAGTTGTAACAAAAAAAAAATATTTTGTATTCATTTGACTCCAATCCCAATATACAATTAAATCCAACATAACTTTCCATGGATCCCATAACTCAATCGCACTTCCAACTATTTTTATAACGTGTACAAGAAGCTACTGATGCAAATCGAGGTGCAAATATACCCCTTTAAAATCTTTCGTCTGTAACCAGGGAAAAAAGAGAAGTTAATGATCGTCCATTAACAAGATCTGCCATTTCTTTTTATTTTTCCAGGTAGAAACAAGATCTGCCTCCAGATACGTATAATTAATTACATTTTATACAGCTTCACGTGTCGATCATGCATGCTTCCTTAAGTGTCGGCTCTTCTTAGTCCTTTTGCGGCGATGAGACTGCTATAAAAGTCCTACTTGGTCAAAGCCAGTTCTGTTTTAACAAAGAGTTTGAAAGGAAGGCATTTCTGGGTTGATATATGATGTTGCTTTCAAGGAGGTTGCGTGTTGCTGTAATAATGGCTATGGCAGCTCTTATGGCTGCTTCCTATGCTGTTGAAGGTAGTCATCGTCGCATTCTGTGGGATAGCGATATCGATACTGACGATTTCTTCGGATTCCTTTACCTCATGAAGCTCAACAGATCAGAATTCGAACTGGAGGTGATTACATACTTCAAAATCAAAACCCCTTTCTGTCTTTACCTTGATCCATATTACTTTTGAAGCAGTTTTGTGATTTGTTAAACTGCTTGGATCTACGCAGGCGATCACAATCAATGCAAATGCGTGGACAAATGCAGGCCATGCTGTGAATCAAGTGTATGACTTACTTCACATGATGGGTCGTGATGATATTGCCGTCGGAGTAGGAGGCGAAGGTGGGATACTAGAAAATGGCACCATCCTTGCAGATGTTGGAGGCTATCTTCCGATTATAGATCAGGTATGCTTTATGCTATATGCACTTGCATTTTCACTTTTGTTGGTAACATCGATTTGTTCATCACTCATGAATTATGCATCGTATTGTAGTATTGTATAATAATGCCATTCATACTCAAGTTACTGTAATGCAGGGATTGACGACTGCAGGAAGTTGCAGATACAGGCAGGCCATTCCCGTGGGTGCAGGAGGGCGACTTGACATCGATGCAAATTATGGCCTTCGCAAAGCTTTCCTTCCACAAGTATATCTATGTTCACTTTGCAATATCTCTTAACAATTTTTAACCATATTTTACTTTATGTTTTAAATTATAGTATTTTTATAAATTAAAAGTCCTAAGCTTTATATTGTTTTGTATTTAGTTCACCTAAAATAAAAATATTTGAACTTAAAAATTAAAAAAAATGTTCCTTCATTACAAGTGGTCGCAAGTAGGACCAAATCCACGATCTAGCGCCATTTCCTCTTATCATTTTCTCTCCATTTTCCGTTGTCATGAACCAGCTAGTTGCCCATTTACGTGTGCATATACATAGTTTGATGAGGCCATTCCATTATTGCATACGGACTGTGCTTGTTTTTATTTGGGCATTCTCAAGAATCCAAAATAGGTTGTTTCCTTAATATTTATCTGAAGCTTATGGACATATACTTCTCATTTTACAGATATGCACTACTGCGTAGCCTTATGGATCACTACATTTCAATTTTAAATGAAGTCTGTTATAGCAAATCATTAAAACATTTGAAGTCTTGATATATTTACATAATAATGCATCAAACTGTAAATGACTTCAGAGTGATCAGGCAATTCATTTGTTTTAAAGTGATTTTAGTCTAACCACTCACACCCATTTGGATTGCTGCTTTTGGCATGAATCAGGGCAGAAGGAGGTATACTCCTCTACAACAACCAACTGCTCAGCAAGTTCTGATTGACAAGATATCTGCGGGTCCCATAACTCTATTCGTGACCGGAGCACATACAAATGTGGGCATTTTCCTTATGAGTAACCCCCACCTAAAGAAGAATATAGAGCATATTTACATCATGGGTGGGGGTGTAAGGTCAAGCAACCCAACTGGTTGTTGCCCCAAAAATGCTAGTTCTTCCTGTGTGCCACAGCAGTGTGGTGACCGTGGCAATATATTCACAGATTATCACACTAATCCATATGCAGAGTTCAATATGTTTGGAGATCCTTTTGCAGCATATCAGGTCAGCTGCAAAAATAACGGTCACTTAAATTGTTAATCACTTTACTGTTCATCTTGTCATTGTTCAAATTTATTTTACACATATGCATGAACATATGGGCATATAGCTTCTTGACGAAAGTATATGATCTCATTTTAGGTGATTCATTCTGGTATTCCTATAACTCTCGTCCCTCTTGATGCTACCAACACAATTCCCATCAACGAGGCTTTCTTTGATGAATTTGAGAAGAGTCAAGACACATACGAGGCACAATATTGCTTCAAGTCATTGAAAATGGCTCGTGATACTTGGTTTGATGACCATTTCTATACGGTAAACAATTATCGAATTTGTTCAGGCAAGTGGTTTTTTACTTGCCAATATCTAGGTTGATAAAGTCAGATGGAGTAACATTGATATTGACTTATTTGGCAGAGTTATTTTATGTGGGACTCTTTCATGAGTGGCATAGCAGTCTCAATCATGAGTAACTCCCATAACGGTGATGGAGAAAATGAATTTGCTGAAATGGAGTATGTGAACATAACAGTAATAACTTCCAATGAACCTTATGGGATATATGATGGCTCCAATCCGAATTTTGATGGCAAAAAAGTTCCTAAGTTTAATTTAAAGGCAGGCGGAATGCATAGCGGTCATGTTCAACAAGGACTTAGAGATCCATTGTGCTTTGTGAAGGATGGGAAAGGAAAATGCATGGTAATCGCTTTTTTGTTGGTTTATGCATTGAAATCTATGTAGTCAAAGTTTGTTTTGCCTTGTTAATATGTTGTCTATAACAACGTGATCTATAGGATGGTTATACAGCAGAGGTAAATGGTTCCAACTCAGTAAGAGTGCTTCTTGCTAAAAAAGCAAAGCCTAACCAAGATACTGGAAGCCCACTTGACAGAGAATATTTCATAAGCTTCCTGAACGTGAGTCACATTTTGATATATTGTTCTGGTTTCTACAAGATTATATCAGAATAATAGGATTCCTTATTGTGATTCATTCTGCAATCTTTTCCAGGAACCTCTAAGTAACAAGTATTTATCTTTCCATGGGTTCCAGGTTCTAAATAAACAACAAAATTCTGGGCTATTCAACTTCACTACGCAGTTTCCTTACTACAAAGAGGTGACTTACAAACCTGATTTTCAACATAGAAGACCAGGGAAACCTGTTGTGTTTGACATGGACATGAGTGCAGGAGACTTTCTTGCTCTATTTTATCTCCTAAAGGTTCCTTATGAAGTGATCGACCTCAAGGTAGTTTGACCCTTCATCGTTACTATTTCTTTGAATCTTCAAAAACCTTTCCTGCTCTGACATGGACGTGAGTGAATTGAAATCTATTGCTCCTGCTACTCAAAGACCCCAGCTTTACTTTGTCGAATTCTTTTATTAGAACAATGCTATGGATCTATCTGTGTGAAGAAACTCTTTATCACCATAGGTTTTGCTTTCCATGACAAGATCCCTAGGGAAAACATTACCTCTGAATCTGATGTGGGTTCCCTGTAACTTTTGGTTAGGCTATTATTGTCAGCCCAAATGGATGGGCCAATGCTGCAACAATAGATGTGGTGTATGACCTACTGCACATGATGGGTCGTGACGATATCCCAGTAGGTCTAGGAGATGTATTTGCAATTGATTCAAATCCATTCTTATCAGATGTTGATGGCTGCAAATATGCTGGAGCCATTCCGCATGGGAGCGGAGGGTTCTTGGATGCGGACACTCTTTTTGGTCTTGCTCGTAATCTGCCTCGTAGCCCCAGAAGGTGCTTTTAAGTTACTTTGATGAACATTATACCATGCATCAGAAACTAACGAAAATAGTGGCTATGTAGGGGAAGGAAAATGGCATTAGTAAATTGGAATCTGTCATGTAAAAATAAAAGGTATAAAATTGAATTTTTCTGGACCAGCAATGGACTATGACACCTTAAGATCTACCACAGGTATACTGCAGAGAACTCTGTAAAGTTCGGAGCTCCCAGGGATACCGATCACCCTGAACTTAGACAACCGCTAGCTATGGAAGTTTGGGAATCTATATCGCCAACAACCAGACAAGGGTCTAAGATAACAGTGTTAACCAATGGACCATTGACTAATTTGGCCAAGGTCGTATCAGAGAAAAACATGAGCTCCTTAATTCAGGTCAGTTGATTTATCCATACACTTCCCATTATGAAATACTTGGAAATTAATTCAAGAAACATCAGCCCGTCAACAATCCCAGTAAATTTTTCTATTGCTATGTAGAAAAGTATTTTATACTAATCAACTGACCGTATGGGTTCAACTTTTTACAGGAGGTATACATAGTAGGGGGACACATAAGCGAGAATGGCAATGACAAAGGAAACATATTTTCTGTACCTTCAAACCGATATGCAGAGTTCAATATGTTTTTGGATCCCTTAGCTGCCAAGACAGTATTTGAGTCTGGAGTGAATATCACTCTCATTCCACTGGATATTCAGCGTGAAGCTAGCAGCTCGTTTTCAACGATGTTAAGATGGTTGCGTGCAACAGAAAAAACATCTGAAGCTGTCTTTTCCATGCGGTTGTTTTCAAGGCTATACCGCTTGAAGCAAACCCACTACAGATATCAGCACATGGTAAAGTAACCCTTTAGTCCTCCTTCATGTTATAGCTTAGCCAGCGCAGTAAAAGTTACGCGTTGCAAACTCCGTAGATTTAAACCGAATTAGTTATAAAGTGACATGTAAACTATATCAGAAGTGAACCCTACAACAAGGCATGCCTAGCATGATCCATGATCAATGATCAATTGGGTTTAATAATCTTTTGCAGATTTAGCCTACCTAAAAATTTTGCATTTTTTTCTTTTTAAAAGTTTTTCTTAAAAAAATTCTTAGATTGACTATATCAATCACGACTTGAGTAGTCCCCATTTTTTGCTGAATATTAGTTGTAATTTAGCGAAGGATGTGATCATAATAATATGTAACTGCTGCAGAATCAGTTTAACAAAACGTTTGTCACCTAGAACTAAAAGTATAATGTGTTTTTCATTTAGCTTAGTTTCTGCTGTTTAATCTGTTTTTTGACTAAAGCAATTCTGTTACAGGACACGTTCATGGGGGAAATTCTGGGCGCAGTTGTATTAGCCGATGGCCATTCCAGCGTTGGTGCAAAAACTGAGGTCAAGCCACTTAAAGTCATAGCTGAAGGTTTCAAATCCGGTGATGGGACAATTGTGGTAGATGAAAAACAAGGAAAATCAGTCCAAATTTTAAATCATGTGGATGCTGGGAGTTATTATAAACTGTATTCAGAGAGACTCGGTGATAAGAATCAGACAGCCAAGTTAGGAAGCTTCAATGAACAGAGAAGAAAATGGAGGCATCCTTGAAAGCAAAGCAAGAGGGGAAGTCCACTTGGCTACTATTTTCTGCCAAAAGCTGTTCATCTTTTCTTATTTAATGCAAATGAGGTGTGGCTAAAAGATTCTTGGAGATAGACTTCGTAGTTGTGTACAGGTAAAAACATTGTGAGGCCTTTTCTTTTTGTTAAAGAAGCGTGAGGATTCGATATTGGGAAATTAAATCCTGATCATGCTCAATCAATAGTGATATAGATTCTTTCTGCGTGTCTCTGTCATGGGCATTGTCGCTGATATGACACCATTGTATGATTGAGTTCATGTATATAAATGCGCAACAAGACAAGAATTTTCAAGTTTGTTATTATGTTGGTGAGGATCTGTGAAAATGTTGATGATCTAGTTGAAAATTTGTCATTGAACTCTCATCGAGATACGGCTTTGGTTGGGTTAACATCTGTAGATGTGATTTTTATCTCAAACCAAACTGAAATAATTTAAATAATTTTTTTATAAAAAAATCAGTTTGATAGAATATTATTTAGATAATTTATTGGAAAGTTACTTTCAAAAAGTTAAAATGCGAAAAAAAAAATATTCCAACTTTAAAGTGGGTTTTAGGCAAAATAAAAAAATTTAAAAAAAAAATCAGCCATCAACATCATGTCAAACATCTTTTTTTTCATTCAACTAATTTTTTTTTTCTGTCCGAGCTTACTTTTAAAACTTCCTAATGCTATTCTAAGCATAACAATGTTAATGGAAGATAATTAATAAGGTTATTGGTTATATATAAATATATATTTATATATATAATATGAATGGACGGAATCAATCCCCCAAAAAGGAGGAGGGAGAGAGTGAAGACAGAAATCATGTATGGCCGAAAGATAAAGATAATACGAAGCAGACAAAGGTACGATGCCATCTCTTATCTTTCTACTAAATAATCATATCATGCCCGATTCCCCACTCGCCTTCCCCCGCCATTATTCGAGTCCAGGATTCTATACTTTCCGGTTCATAATCTTGTGTTGCGATCAATTTCCTTTCCTCTTTTCACTTCACACCTGTAAAGTCGAGTGAAAAAATCCCAGGCTGTTTCACCCAAGAAGCTCTCAGATGTTGATTGTTTTTCAACAAAAAAAAAAAATTAAAGGCTTGCAAATAATTTGCAGGGGGTTCAACAGTCGACATCTAAATCCATCTTTCAACGAGTTTCTCTATTATTCCCCATGGTTCGACGCATTTGTGATTCAGACGTGTTCAATTCAAACAACTCTGATGTTAAATATTCCTCACGCCTTAGAAAAAGTGAAGAAACCAATAAAACATTAAAGACAAGTGTTTGAGGTTCGTATTAAATTCTTATGTACTCACCCCAATGGATATAAAAAATCATATTTTAAAGGCCTTCTCTCTTCAAAATTTCAAAAATAATGAGAGTTCTGTTATGTTAGTGATAAGAGCAGCCTTTCTTAGATCATGGAAGAGTTCACATATAAGCTTTTCAGACAAATCGTGAAGAAGTTACAGGGCATGGAATCCTCTCTTGGTTGAAACTCATACAATCAATCACCAAGGACTTAAATGACCTAAGACAAGAGAATCTTCAATGAAGAAGAAGAAAAGAGGATCATCTAAACACTCTTACAGTTACAAGCTTTCTCTATAACTCCATCCACCCTTTACAAACTCAGTTCCATCACAGGGATTGACCCACCAGCTCCAACAATCTGTTGCTCAAGCTGCAACAAAAACAATTCAAACAACAATTGTGAATGATAACATCCACAAAACACAAACATACTCTGTTTTCTTATGACCAGAGAAGCAATTAATCATGTTACCCCAAGCAGAGTTTCAAGTTTAGTTTTGACAAGGAAGTACTCTTGCTTTACTTGTTGCAGACATCTCAGGCACCTGCAAGTACATTCCCATCATCATAACATAAAACTGCCCAACATACATGGTTCTTTTAGTTTGTTTTCAACATGTGTTAAACTTTGGTGTCGAGTAAAACACTAAACTTGTTCATACATAAAAAACTTGCAATAATGGCATGTCTCAATGTCACTGTGATGTCCTGTGTTTCTGTCTTCATGTTTACTACTAGGTAGGTGCTAGTTCAATCTAAAACCTAAGCGTCTCGAAACCTTTTATGGGGAAAAAAAATTTAGCAAGTCAGTCAGAAGAAAAACAACTTACGCATCCACATTCTGTTCCTCGCAAAAGCTGCGGAAAGCAATGCAGGCATTTTTGACCCTTTGAGCACCTATGCTGTGGGCCACAAACACAAATTTGTCAAAACATAACCAAGGGAGACGAAGATAGCTATAGATGAACAAAATAAATAACTTTATGAATTGTTTTCTCCGCTCTTATTAGCTGTTCCTGAATTGGTCTTCATATACATGAAACTTGATTAGTCTGTGTGGGCTCTAATGTATAACTTATTTAGTAAGCAACTTCTTTCTGTGTAGCCATCTAAAACCAAACAGTAATTGCACTAACGAAACTCTGAATTATTGCCGTAAAGGGTTTGATAACTCGGATCCAGATCATGTGTCTTTCTAGTATATACCTTGAGCTGCTACCCTTCAACTGGTGTACATGAGCATCAACTTTTTTGAAGTCAATTGCTCTCTGATCTCTGCAAAAAAAGAAGGGGAAAAAGAAAAGGCTCAATAACATAAAAACTCTTTCATTTTTCCAAGGTGTTATTAGAGCAGGTAAAAGTTATCAAAAAGGAAACTCAATTCAAACTTAAATGAATAATCAGTGCCAAACTGATCGTCGTATCTAACAAACACTCCCTGTTTTACTGAGTCACAGAAGCTCTTACTATATCAGGAACTAATACGATTAACTTATTTATTAAGTGAAAGAGAAATTATGGGAACTCACAGAGCATTGGTGAGATCAGTAAGAAGCCTCTCAGAATCTTCAAAGAAGAGGGACACAACTTCAACAACAAATTCAGGGTTGCTGTCGTCTTGTAGTTGCTTGAGTTGTAAGAACTGAGCATCAAGAAAGCCCTTTTGCCCCCATATAACAGAAAATAACAAGACGCACAAGTCACAACCGAAAAAACCAACACAAACATAACAAAAGAAGAAAAAGAACCTAGCAAACAGATCTGGCTACGTACAAACAAAAAAGCAAGAACCCCCTCTGAGAAAAAATGATAAACTGAGTGCTTTTATAGGGCAGTAATGTTGATACCTCGATGAACAAGGATTTCATGCAGTCGACCCACTGTCTCTGAATCTGACCCACATCCATGGTTAGAGACAGAGTGACCCGGCAGAGAAAGGAGAGGGCTGAAGTTGAGAAGTTGAAGTAGGAGGAATTATTGCTCAATCAAGGGGTCTTTTAAGTGCAGCAAAACCTTTGAAAGAGATGGATGAGAGAAGCAAAATCCAAGGTTTTGTTGCCGTTGGGTGATAATACTGATGGGAATGTCTACTTCTTTCTTTTTCTTTTTTCATTTTCAAGGTCATTATTCATGTATGGATTTGTGCTATTCTTGCTTGTGATGTAGAAAATAGGGACCCACCACCACCCCCACCATTAATGGGAATTTGCAATCGACTTTGGGGTTGCCTCCCTTGCATTAGCGCCATCTTTCTCAGCTCCTTTTCCACTCTTCTTCGAGGCGTGCATGATAAAGAATCTTGAAGAGATTAGTTTTTTTTTTCTTTTTTCTTTTTAAATATATATATATATCTTTAATTTAATCTAAGAACATTGCATCCTTTTGCTGGGTAATTTTTAAAATCAATAAAAATGTCCTATGTCACTGTGTGTACGTTTAGACTTGTTTAAATGTTTCCTTTTTTGTCAAGTGGCTTGATCTAAGCAGATGATCTCAGATGGTTAATCAGTCGCTGAAACATTGTCACTTGTATGAAAGTTTGATTAAAGAATTTAACTTTTGAAATGAAAAACTGTCGCGTACAAAAATTTAAGGGGTTCATGATCATGTAAACATTTATAGACACACAATTCGGCTTTAAAAAAAAAAAAAAATTGCTTGCAGCGCTTAGCCGCTTAGTCGCTTGCCCTCTCCCTCACATGCACGCAAATTCTTCTCGCTTTGTTCTGTTTGACCCTCAAGAAAGATGAAATACTCTTACCCTTCCGTTCCTAAATATAAGACCCTTATACAGTATGTATAAAGGTCTTATATTTAGGATCAAAAGAGTAATATTTATGTGTCTGGATATAAAAGGTAAAGATAACATAGAATATGTCTAGCTTTGCAAAGCAACATTTTTTTCAAACTTGTTATATATATACACACACAGACACACACATGTCGGCTGAGGTTGAGAATTCAACAGCCTAAAAACCTTTATATTTTCATAATAATATATACAACATGATAGGATGGTAAAAAGAGGGGCACATGTTCTTATTGGGGCATCTAGCCTGAAGGTGATGGGGAAAAGAGTGGTTGCGACCCCCTCCACGTGGCTCAGCTTTGTGTGTGACTAAGGCACAATGTTTTTCTTTTTTGATTTCGTCTGATGATTTGATGCCAAGGTTGTCTACACGAATCACATTTCCACCACAAAATAAAGTCTTTCATTATGGCATTTGCAAAAGCTGAAATTAGTACAAGCCCAACTGTTCCCATGTTTCAACGTATTGCCCCATTACTACATTCATAGCATGTTCATGTGTGAGTAAATTTAACAAGTTTCTCCTGCATTAACTCTCTTTCAATTACATAAATAAACATGTGTGAGTGAATTTAACAATTTAACAATTTTCACAAATAAATAGACTCAATAAGTCAGTGAACTTATTATTGGGCTGGTCCCAACCAACTTAAAAAATTCACAGGCCCAATAACTCACTGATGGGCTTGGCCTTACAGATACAACACTCACCAACATTGTATAATAGGTTCGGCCTCATGGTTCCTGGGAACGGCTTCTCTCCGCTGACCTTTCTGCTCGCTGCCCTCCTCTACTCAAAACTATATCGTTTTAGTGGAAAATAAAAGGGCTTGAATACAATTTGTTTTTTTTAAAAATAATATCCAGTATTTTTTAAAAGCACTCAATATTTTGAAATAGTTTTTGATACACTCTGCGCTCTAAAATATTTTTCAAGGAGCACCCACCACTATACTAAAATATTTTAGGATGTTGAGTGTATCAAAATTATTTTAGAATACTATATGTTCTTGAAAAAATACTTCAAAATACTGAATCTTATTTTTTTAAAAAAATTCAAGCTCTCTTATTTTCCACCCAAAACGACATGGTTTTGGGTGGAGGAGGGCAGCGGATAGAAGCCATTGGCGTTCTGTCTTTACTCGTTTGTTCAAGCCGCCTGGGAATCAGCTCCACCATGGAATCAGACAAATCAACCACTTACTTCCATATAAAGACGGAGGCAAGTTATATGAATCAAAAGGCCATATTTTTACTTCTCTTCTTTCAAAGAATCAGAAGCGTCGGGACTTGTCTCTCGATTCATGTCATTCAAATACTTGGTTGAATTATAATCCTCTGCGTCTAGCAGCTCTACAGAATAGGTCCTTCTTAGTTTTGACTTCTGGCGTTCCATTATGAACTTCAAGCCCTCTTCATCTCCTTTTAGAGTCTTTAACACCTGTGTATTCATCTAAATCAGATCATCATCTCGCCTGCATCAAAATGTTTGACATATAGAACTTGCCTGGCTCATTTGTGGTCGCTCAACTGAACAATGCTCTATGCACAAGGAAGCTGTTATTACAAGAATTTTCATCTGTTCTTCATCATAAGCATCACTTAGACATGGATCTGCGAGCTCTTTGATTTTATCTACAGATAGCAAAGGTTTTGCCTGCAAATATATGCACCCACTCTTTTAATTTGATATTTTTAATGTGAATAAGCTATTCCCTCAGTAAAATGTTAGCATTGCTCTGCACAGTGGAAGAGACATACCCACATCACCAGACTTTTCTGAGAGCTATCCAAAGCCTGTCTTCCTGTAATGAGCTCCAATAATAGCACTCCATAAGCATAGACATCGGTCTTTTCATCTACTACTCCATGCATGAAGAATTCAGGAGGAAGGTAACTGTTTCAACACAAAATGCGATGGAACCATAAAAAAAACTGTCAAAACATAGGCGTGAAGAAAAATCTTTTTATTTACTAAGAACACAGAAACTTTGTGATGCTTTTAGATAAACAACCCGAATGTGCCTTCAATTTTGTCCACAGTATGGTGAGTCCATTGATCAGGCAACCACTTTGCAAGCCCAAAATCAGATACCTGGGGTGAGATTAGATTTAAGAAGCTGGTAATATATGAAAACACTCCATTGTTGCAAAATGGGACTCCCATAATCAATTCTGTGACGCATAAAACATTACCTGAGGCTCAAAATCCTCTGACAGCAGAATATTAGCAGCTTTGATATCTCTGTGAATGATCCTTCTTTGACATCCCTCATGCAGATATTGAAGGCCCTCAGCAGTCCCTAGAGCAACCTTAAATCTGATGTTCCAATCCAGTTTCTCTCGAGGTCCTAAAATCATGCAAGGAAGAAACTGGAGTTTTTATCTTCTGGAAACTTGTTAGGTTCCTTCTCTCTCTCTATATGTGTGTGTGTGTGTTCAAAATTTTCAAGATGGAAAACAGACCATAAAGTATGCCTGCGAGGCTGCCATGTGGAGATAACTGAAGAACAAGAAACATCCCCCCTTCCACACCATAACCAATCAATCTGGCAATATTGGGATGATCAACATGTACTATAATACCAAGTTCAGACAAGAAATCAGCTGTCATTTCTTCTTGGCTTCCTCTTGTCAGCCGTTTGATTGCAACATATGTCCCATCTTCCATTTTTCCTTTGTAAACCTCAGCATAACCTCCCTTCCCGATCAACAAATCTTCAAAAGGGGAAAAAAAGCACAACCAACATATCACCAAGCAAGCAACAATATCATTGTGAAGCATATGAATTAATGAGCTTTTCTTTTAACACTACATTGACCATTGTAAGAGGTTTTTTTTTTTAAAAAAAAAAAAACTATTTATGGGCCTTCATTAATAGCTTAAACTTTCTAGTCCAGCTAATCTTTAACAAATGTCAAGCACAATGAGATTTTGTTCAGAATAGCTTGAGCTTTTTAAGTTGAATTGATCCTTCACAACCAGAAAAGCAACGGACTTCAGACAAAGGAGTTGATACCATCACTGAAGTCGTTAGTGGCAGCTTTGAGCTGTGCAAATGAAAAATTAATCCACGAAGACTTAAAGCAGTAAAAATCTGGATCAAGAGATGGGGTTGGAACTGAAGAATGTAGACCAGGGATGAGGTCTTCCTTGATTCGTTTAACTGTTCTTCGGGTGAGTTTGGGAATAGTTTTAGGCGGATGAGCAAAGCGCATGTGAGATCCTTTTTTCATGAAACGAAGCAGGCCGCGCCATTGGGCATTGTTTGCAACATCTGGGGGACACTCTGAATCGGAAGTACTACCATGGGAAGAAGGAGCTTCATATTCTAAACTTCTGCAGTCATCAGGCATGTCTTTACTGGCAGACCACTCAGGTGTGCCTTCTGCCTTGATGTATAAAGAATCCAAGTCTGAAATTCATTTTTTACGTTTAGCATATTGATTAGTACAATGGACAACCGTGATCAGATATTTAGAAATAAGAACTGCAATTTACCCAATTCTCTGATGGAATCAGAATAACCAGTCCGAGCCCTTCTGCCTTTTGGACAAGTCTTCTTCTCTTTTGAGTCTCCCTTTTCTAATTCAGGGGATTCAGCGCTGCCAATATCATCATTTCCTTCCTCAGCAAATAACAATGTAACAAAATGAAGGCAGAACAACCTAATAAATATATCTCAAGACTTCATCGGCCTATGGCTAACAAGAATGAACAAGGGTCAAAGAAACACGATGGCCAGTCCGGCCAGCGTACACCGCAAGTTACCCATATTTTTGGTTCAACCGCCCGATACGCTGGATTACGAGATTCAACCAAAAAAATTGACAAACTAAGATTTTGGGATACGGAACAATGCGGGTGAACACACGCTAAATAAGGATGCGTGCATGACATGAGATTTGGGGATTGCATCAATAAAATATCAGCCACAAGAAGAAACAAGGAAAAAAATGCCATGAAACTAAGCCGAAAATCCCACTTCCGATGGAGAACAATGGGAGGAATGAAGGCGTTACCTTGTGGAACGGATATCGTTGTCCATGGCTGAGCATCGGAGAACAGAGAGGATCTCAGAAAACAGAGGAAGGGAAGGGACAGAGGGAGGGAAGGAGGGAAGGAGGCTCGAAAGTAGCGGCTTGCATTGATTCGTGTGTTGTTGCCGCCTTAATACAGAAACAACTTCATTTCATGATATTGTTATTAACTTCACCGAATTTTCTTGCTCAATTAACGGCTTCTTTTACCCATTTTCTCATTCACATACATTTCATCCATATTCACTTACTAGTGCATAGTTTTTATTTAAATATCGTTTCTTGCAAACTCTTTTTCTCACAAATTTTAAAACACCAACAACCATGCATGCATTTGCGGTCCATCGCCAAAAAAACTACCTGCTACAAACAGAATAACACATCGCTATTAGTCTGTGAAAAATTAATGTTATTAATTTAATCTTAACAATTCGTCATAAAAAATTAATTCTGAATAGTGTCCTTCAACCTCTAATTCACCCTTCATTACAACTTGCGGTACAATTTATATGACTAATTTAATAAGGTGTAGTTATTTGATTGGGACACTTACTGGAAAGCACTTTGCTAAGGGTAAAGTATAACACTTTTTGAAGCTTTGCTTGTCAGCGAGACAAAGTTTGTCATTGATCAACGTTTTGTTGTTTTGAATTAAAAGGACAAGCACCAACTATTTGAAATTATAGGGGAAACTAAACTTGCAACTTCTCGCTTATACAAGAGCTTTCACGTTTTTGAGCTGTAACACCATTAATCGTTTATCAATATTTATGAAAAGTGAAGATGATGCTCAAGTTTTATAATTTCTTACTACAAAAAGTACAGAATAAATACTACATCTTCAGTATTATGGAGGAAACCAGTGGCCGCACAACAAAAGGCACTCCTCATATTCAAATTTCCAAGTTTTTAGCGTTCAAAGAATAGTTTATCACACCACAATGAACATATGATTTACAATAAGGGGAAAAAATAGTAACGTAGAGAGAGCACAATGAACATCATCACTTGTTACAAGATGTAAATGAAACGTGTTGGCTAGACTAGACAATATCGTCAATGAACATTGCGAGTAATCAATCCCTCAAATATAGCATAGAGGTCCTTGTTTTCAGGTCCAAATATCTCATCAGCTTTTCGTAGGGTCTCCTGCAATTTTGCATCATAATATGGCCATAACCAAAGTGAGATATGAATGTGTTAAGAGAGTAGAGACAACAATGTAACAGAGTGTGACAGAGGGATATTACTTCTTTGGTTTGTTTATGGGAATTCAGTTCCTTAACATTTGCTAAGAATGCGCCAAACTGCTCATAAGACAAACGGCTCCTGATAACCAACACAAAGTGATCAATTGAATGGAATACTCAAAGTATGTTAACCATTAACAACACAGAAATTCAGAGATTTAACACTGAACGCAGCAGCTGCTGTTCGTTACTTCATATTCAAGGACAAGAAACATTTTGAAAGATAACCAAAGAAATCCATTGTGGATCCTGCATAGAAGCTTCCAAATTATAGGGCCAGCTTATGACTTCTAGTTCTGTTAGGGAACCTTCATTCATGGATCAAATATAAATGCCCTCACCTGACTTGGCGAAAGAACTCCTTCCCGTCCACCCGTGTTCGTCCTACAACAAAACATAAGAGTGTAACTGGAGAAGAAGTACATAAGTTAAGCAACACTTGCTGCAAATGGCGCAAGGTCTAATAAAGAAATACACTACGCAGACACACTGAGTTGGAAAAACAACTGAAAAGAGTTGCAACGTGCTAGCACAAAGAAACTACTGCCCAGAAATGGAAAAACAAACCAGTTTGCGATGCTGGGTCAGAGCTTGACAATGAAGTTGAAAATGAAATTGAATGTCGCCTTGGAGACACAGGTTTAGATGTTCTTGTTGGTGATACTGATGCAGACAGGCTAGGGGGAGAACCAGGAGGAGTAATCCGAGGTGTGCTAGTTTGAGATGCTAAGAGGAGACCATGTGATACTCGGGGTCTAGTGGCTGCAACCACATGAGACACGTGCAAAATTATAATTGCTAAATCTTCAGGAATCTACACTGGAAGCAGCCATCTTGACAAAACAAAATGACAGGCAGATAACAGTAGAAGTACAGACTACATACCATCAGCTTCACGATCATCAGCCAGTGAGTATCCTGTATCAGAGATATGGCCTCTCATTGAAGAAGTTCTAGAAGGTGGTAATGAGGAATCATCATCTGCAATGAAATTAGAACTTTATCAAAACCTAAAATGACGAAAAAAGTGCCTGTGGAATATAAGTTGGTGTCCATGATGAGTTGAATATCTCAGCTTCAGTATTTGTTCTTTTATTGACCTCTCCATTCAAACTCAAATTGAGGTCCCAGATTTTTAGATCGGGTCACTCGAAGATGAAGCAAAACAAAACATTAAAACTAAATATCGGCCATTATAGGCCAACAATGATGTCACAATTCACCAACAAGAAATGCGAGTTTACAAAACATTTGAAGTACCTCCAATCTGTGATGCGGAAGACAGACTATTTTGACTTTGTATTTTAGCAACAATATTCGATGCTCCTCCCTACGGCAAACAGCAGGACAAGCCATGAGCTAATATAGTCCAAACAAAATGCCAGTACTATACATTGTAGACAGAAGAGAGACGCAATGAGAAACAAAATTCAGCGATATGTGAACTCTAAAAATCATCCTCCTTATTCCACGACAAGCACCTCTTTATCAGAAAATAGCATAATTTAGTTAATAACAACTTTACCGAATTTTCTTCATCCTCTTGAAGCGATTGCATAAGCGTCCTTCTGAAAACTTCTAACTGCATGCATTTAGAGTAAGACTCCATAAGTCCACCGATGACCCACATTCTATATGTTAAGACCTCATAACAAAATCATTCAACCACCCCTTCCCATTTCATTCAAAAGCTCACAGAAACGACGGCCTACACAAATTCTGAATTACCGGAAAGGATTACAGATTTTCTAAATCAAGCAGATTGGAGGTTAAAAACACGCCACCCAATTTTGCAACTATTAGTTACAATCAGAATTCAGAAATCGAATTCCATAACAAGAATTGGCAAATGGTCACCTTGGAGACATCTCGATTGAGCTTCTTCACGGTATTAGAAAGCAAAGCGTTCTCCTTAAGCAAGCTCTCCTACACCAAAAATGGGGCACAAATTAGATGAAAACGAATTCAACTGGGATATTTGAGAAAAACCGGTTCGAGTCGGGAACCTTATCTTGGTCGGCTCGGACGAGCTTATCAGCGGCTTCGGAGAGGGTGGCATCGAGGGATTCGACCTGGGACTGAAGCTCGGCGATGAGGGAATCTTTCTCGGCGAGCTTGGCGCGAAGGGCGGAGGCTTCTGACTCGAGGAAGTTGAGACGCGTCGAGAGGGCAATGGAAGTAATCTTGCGGGCCACGTCAAGCTGCTCGAAAGGATCCGTTGGCAGAGCTTGCAGCACCTCCTCGGGAAGATCGAAATTCGAAACACCCGATTCCGGTTCATCCGCTAACATTTTCTCGAACCTATCAAACCACCTCACACCTCCTTTTCCGTTAACTTGTACTTGTTTGTTTCTTGCTTTTATAAAATTAAGCACGCTGTTCTCGTATCATTCCCTCCTCCTTCTTCTTCACCAAAGCTGTTTGCTTTTATGTAACAGTGTCTGCCTGCTCAGCCGTGTGAAGGAACGAATTTGATAAGGATTCGGTGCCAACAAGGGAATTTCGTAGTCTCAGTGTGGGTGTGTCCCAACCCAAAAGATGTGGCTGGTAGACAAGACTTGTGGTTCCCGAATGGATAGGACCCTTTGAACATAAGACAAAACGGACTCGTCTTCTGTTATTTCATACCATACGCGCACAGGTATAATAATATTCAAACAAAGGCAAGCCGCATGCTGCTCCAAACACTGGAAAACATGTTTGCTTTGTCATTACAACCGATCTTGGACCTTAGGTGGCTCTAAAGGGATCACTTTTAACGTCGAATTGATGTTGTTTCCTACGACGAATCAAACCCGTTGACAAAATGTTGAACATACATATAGTAGTAGTGTCTTTTGAGCGCTGTTTAAGTGCATCGTGCCTGGGCTTGTGACTTTTCGTGGACTGAATAAGAAGCTCACACAATATATAGTTTATTGAGAATGTAAATGTGTTGTGCCTGTTGGGAATTTGAAGAGCGACTCGGTGGTAATAGACTAGTTTAGATTTCCCATCGCCCGTCTTGGTGACAAGTGTGTGAGTGTGGATAAATAAGACATCCCACCGTTTGGATACCACTAATGTTAGGTTTTTCCTTCTTTTTTTTTCAATTTGATGCTGCTCTGAAAAAAAAAATATTAAGATTTGATTGATAATCGCAATTGCGATAGATTTCTTGCTACCATGTTAAGTCATCGGCTTATTGGGCACTGTTTAATGGATATCCTAGTCCGTTTTGGCGGTGTTTGGTGTATTAAAAAAAACTTTAAAAAATATTTTTACTTAAATCGAGATAAAACCCTTTTTATATATTTATTTCCTATATCGCAAGATTATTTTCAAAATCATAATTTAATTTCCGCTCAAACATTTTTTTAGTGAAAAGTTGAAAACGGATATGATTTCAGATCAATCATCGAAGTTTTCCTTTGTTTTTCTGTAATAAACTTGGGCTGGCTAAAATTCTGGGTCCATCAGCATTCAACGGCTGAAACCACAAAAACAAAATAGAGTCAAGCTTGAACTTGAAGTGGTCGTGATGGGTTCGTTGGGCCCAATTCAGGTACAGGGTCTTCTTTTGTCGGGTTGGACAGGGTGGCCCATGTGTAGCCCAAGAAGATGGAAAAGAGGTGTTCTTTTTAGGCAAAGAATACATCTCTGTCAACAAAAATTTGTCCAATTGATAAAAAATAGATTTATAACCCATAATCTTACTGTTGATGTGAATATTTTATTAGTGGCCGATCTGTAAGTATTTTTAAAATACTTTTTGAGTCTGAAAGCATATCCTAATCCTAACAGGTTCTCAAAACCTAACTATCTAAATTTTTATTTTTAAAAAAAGGAGTATATATCTATTTTTCATTAAAAAAAAAAAGATATATGAGCCAACAAAATCAAGTAAGAATTGTCTGATTTTGAATCTCACCCTGAATGTGGAGATCTTGTGAGTGACTCATTTGTAAGTATCTTTATATATGCCATTGAAATCAAAAGCACGGCTTATTTTTGGTGAGTTTTGAGGAATTTTTTTATTAAAATAATAGCAGATATTTGAAGAATAGTTAATGATGATAATGATGTGTTGGGAATCGCAAAGGATTTATGTGGTAGCAGCGGTGGTGAATTAACATGAAGCTTTGTGAGGTGGATTGGAGAGAGAAATGTATGGTGTGGGCGTGACTTTACTCCTTTTTGTGGTGGACGCACATCAATCGTTATCCCCTTAGAGAGATTTATCTCCATTACCCATTCCTTTCTGTAGAGGCAACCGTCACATCACAACATTTTAATTACCACTCTCTATTAAATAATGCTACTTCCTGTTTTAATACGAGATCCTGTTTGTTTTTTATTTTGATTCTAAATATAAAACCCCAATTTATTTTGTCTTTCATATTTATATATATTTTTTCAAAATAGCCTTTCTAACAATGATAGTTCTAGTCAATACACTTGATTAGCAAGAATATTTTAGAAAAAAAACATCTAAGAACAAATAACTAACTCAACTTACTTCCTTAATCTTCTCAAATTAGTCAACTGGCTCTTATAATTAGGAGCAGAGGTAGTACTAATTTCCATACTGTTTTATTTTCTCTCGCTGCAAATACTATATCTTATTCTTATAAGACTTTATTTGCAGAGATAGTGCATATATATATATATATATATATTTAAAAATATGTTACTGAGTTCGAAATCCTCCACAAGTTACGTTCTTTCCGTGAAGAGTTTCATGAACTAACATAATAGAGGAGGAAAACAGTGATGAATAATTTATGCAGCATGATTATTAGAAGGAAAGAAATGTATGACTTGAAAATTTAAAAAGATATCTGATTTAAATATTTCATAAAGAAATGAATGATTTGAAACGTGCGTGAGTGACTTGTTTGGCAAAAGAGTAATACAGTATCTTTACTAACAAAAACAACGAATCCCACATTAAAACTGTAGGAGTTACCAAGTTAAATAAATTGAGATAATCACATATAAAAAGAAAGAAAAAAAAAGGGAAAAAAATGAATAGAAATTTGATTCCGAAAAAAGTGTCAAGAAAGGCAGCTGGGCAGGTCCAAGCGGCTGACGTTGAATAAGCAACACTGCCCTTTCTATGAGGAAGACCACAGCACAAACTTTCTTTTATTTTTTTACTTTCTCCTTTTGTACTTTTATTTATTTATTCATTTATTAATGATTCGGAAAGAGAAAATAGCTTGCTTCATCATTCAACGACGCTATGATTCTCTCCCTTTTATTTTCTTTTTCCGCCCACAGATTCTCCTACATACTCACATTTTAAATCGTACATGTTTTCTTTACAGAAGGATGTTTCCACTACGCCTCCTCAAAGTATGATTCTGCGTTTTGGCTTTTATGAGAACAAAGCAGGAAAGAAGAGTTGAGAAGCTTAGCAAAAGTTGTCATTAAATTCTTTGTCAGTCGGAATAATTTTAATTCAAAATATTTGTATTTTCTATGTATAAGAACTTGTACATTTATCGATAAAAATTCATGCTTCTTATCACTGATAAAATATTTTAATACAGGATTTTTTCCCCAGATTTCTCAATAAAGTATGATAATATAATAATCCTCTAGTCTTTAATATAAAATCTAATTATAGAGTTAGTTTTGATCCTAAATATTAGGGTTGGTAAAACGGACCAACCCGCGAGTTGCGGGTTGGCCCGTGGCGGGTTGTGGGTTGTCCGGTGCGGGCTCAAAAGGCCCGTTTTCTGGCGGGTTGGCATTTTGCCAACCCTAACCCGCCAACCCAACCCACCAACCCGCCAAAATTTTTATTTTTATTTTTAAAAATTTTTTTTTTTTTTAAATGTTAGCAATTATATATAATACAAAATAAAAATACTAAAAATGATATAAAATATTAGAAACATTCAAATAAAAATTACAACACAATAAAATACAAATAGTATATGATTATCCAATTTTCCAACATGATAATACATAAGTTCACACATTTTTTTTTCAATGAAACCAATGAGCAATATTGAATAACTTATTTATCTAATTATTTCTAATGACAATAAAGTTTGAAGTAAAAATTTGCTTTACTTTTACTTTGTTATCTATTTTTTTTAAAAAAAATAGGTGGGTTAACCCGCGGGTTAGGGTTATGGCGGTGCGGGTTATATTTTTTAAGGTAGTGGCGGGTTGGCTTTTGCCAACCCTAACCCGCCATTTTTGACGGGTTGGACCCGCGGGTTCAACCCATATTACCGGCTCTACTAAATATAAGACATGTTTATTATATTTATTACTTTTTTTCTAATTGGAATATATTCTATTAGTTCTTATCTTCAAATTGTTATGTTCTCTATGTCCTAGAATATAAAAAAAATGGTTAGGCAATTGCAAATGATATAACTAGTAAATACGTTCCTTCTCATGTCAATATATTTTATTATTTAGAGGGAATTACACTTACTTGTTTTTGAGTCCAAGTAGCGACGAGGTTTGTTGTGACTTTTTACTATCGTCCAAAAGCTTTTGCTTTTGTTCAATATATAATTATGGAAGCTAACTTTGATTGGTTAATTAGATCAATTTATTAATGGTCGGCCCTTAACTATAATCAATAAAAAAGATATTTAAATAGACTATTAGAATATTTTAAAAAAATCATATTTCTATAATTTATTTATTTATTTAATTTTTTTAATATAATTAAATTAGTTAAATATACGGTGAAATAATTTAAAATAAAATTATTAAGGTGGAAGCCCGATTTTATTTTTTTTTTCCGCCAGCTGGAAGCCCGAATTTGACTCCACACTTTTACAAAAGCATCTCACATTTTCTTTCCTCCTTTTCTTAGTGGGAAATCATTGGACAATGTGGCAGGAACTCGTGGGGACATTCATACGTTCACTTGAATTATTCGGTCCACTCACATTTTCTTTATTCATTAAAATCATATCAATTGTTATCGATCTCCATTATATGAACCGAGCGCCAGCGGTCTAGTTTCACAATGACCAACTTACCCTTCTACCGAGTCAAATTACGGTGAAACGGTACCCTCCAGTGCACTCGAACAATTTTGACCTAATTTAAATTATTTTTCCTAAAGAGTTAAAAAGAAAAACACGCCCACATATATAACAACAATTTATGTTGTAAGATTTTTCATACAACATATCTAACATGTTGAATTACACTAAATATGGATACCTGTCTTAATAACAATTTAAATATTAATACATCATATTGTGAGGATTATCTCATTCCATTAAATCTAATCATGTTGGTGTTAAAATATTTATTTTGATGCTAGATATAAAATCCTAAGTCATAATTCATCGTATCTTCTCAATTTAATAACTTTCTTCACAAATTATCTGGGTATAATGATATTATATATATATATATATATTAAATGAGGTTCCATTAATCGAAAAATAATCAAATGGATATTATAAAAAAAGTCTGTATATGTAACTTAATCAAACTTTCTTAATATCTATAAATTCATTATTCAACGTTTACATTAAGTATTTAAGTATTAACATCCATATCATACCCTTTTTTTTGTTTGGCCGAACATTGACCAAGAGAGGCAAGAGCAGCGACCCCAATATGGGGAGATCGTAAACGTCATCCGGTCCACGCAGACACCCACCACAATCGGGGGATAGTAAATGTCAATTTTGACCTCGATCCTTTGCAAATATTGCATGGCCATCTTCGGATAGGTTATCGCTTCATTTTTAGAAAGCAAGATCGCCTTTGATTTTATGGATTATTTTAGTAAGTAATTAACTAATAAAATATGCGTGAGGGGAGAATGATCGAAACTTGAATTGAGAGAAACAAGCGGCGACAGGGAGACAGCTTAGGATTTAGGAGTCTGTTGATGGAGAGACAAATTCATCATTTTAAAGTACGAGGCCATGTGATCTGCAAAATTATTTGCCTCTTATTTTGTCCCATTTTCGCATTTTAATATTAATATGCAGAACGAATTGGAGGTTTAATCAATCAATCTCTATTATTGAGCACATCATTTTTCCATTATTAAGCTTCCATCTGCAACACCCCCCCCCCAAAAAAAGAAAAAGGTAGAAATTGAATTGAAATAAAAAATGCCTCCGTTACTGCAACGTAAGAGTAAATATATTTACTTATTATTTTACATTTAAAGGTGCAAAAATATTTCCATCTGTAAATCTAATTTTCATTCCCTGTTCCATAGACCATAATAAACAATTACTTAACTCCAAAGATAAAAGGTTACGTTCAAAGGTTAGGTAGAATGTGTAAAGCATATGAACCATGGTGATGCTGGTACGCCAAAAGCACTGAACCAAAATCACCTAATGAAAAGCTGTTATCCCCTATTAACGTTATTTCCCGTCAGCGTGTTAAATCATTTATGGATTATGGATGATTCATTTGATGTAAGCTTGTTCAAATCTATATCATATTTATGAAAATGTCTATATATATATATATATATGTATGAGCTATATCATGAATATATCTATATATAGCTAATCCTAATTTCTAACCCACCTCATGTATTTATTTAGCACTCTCTTCGCTCCTAATTATTAACTTAATAATTTAAAAGGAGTATTTCTTTAATTTTGCGTTTAATTATTTATTTGTTTTCTTTTATCATCTTATATACTCTCTATTATTATTATTTTATTTATTCTAAGAACATGTTTTTTAAAAATATATTTTTAATATATTTATTATTTTTAATTAATTTTAACTAATTATTTGTTAGAATAGAAAACAGATGCAACGCAATAAAAAAGATGTGGTAATAAAAAAATCAGCAGATTATTTGAGTGATGTGAAAACCTCTTGTGGACCCTACCAAAGAAAAGAGGCCATTGAAAACGACAACTAACCCAGCACATATGACGGCGTTACCTGATGACCCAAGAAAACCGAAGTGGACGGGCGAGGAGTAAGATGTCAGGGCACACAGGATGACGCCGTTATAACAGACATCGCGTCTGAGGGGCCCCACATACACGCCCTTCTACGAAGAAAGCCAGGGCGGACCAGGTCAAGTCATCCAGCCACGTGTCCCCTAATCACTGAGAACGAGCCTGCCTGTCTCTTACCATTTCTCTTTCTGTAACTAATGTCTATCTTCACGCGTCAATGAGCGAAGGTCGGTGGCAAACCCAACCGCCACCCGACCCCGCCCTGTCTCTTTCCTCTTCTCCTATATATCACCCTCCCCACCCTTTCTTTCTTCCATTGTAGCTTCCCATAAACCATCTTTAAGCCGCGTCTTTTAACACACACCACCCCCTCCTTCTTCTCCTTGTGAGGAGGAGGAAAATAGAAGAAAGGGGCTCGTAGGAACAGGGCTAAATCTTCACGAAGAAGCAGATTCTGGGACTTCCATTTTCTGTTTTCCTTTGTCTTACCAAAACGAACAAGATCTGCGCGCGCGCTAGCTCGGAGTAGAGAATCGTCCTATTTTCGTTTTTTTTTCTTTGAATTAAAAAAATTACCTGCCATGGCGACGGAGGTTTTGCGGCCTCAGGACTGCTTGGTCGAACGGATTAGGGTTCCTCCAGCCGCGTTTTCCAGGCGGAGGAACTATGGGGGTTATTGTAATTACAATAACTACGTAACAAATCCCAGGCCTTCCCGGAAACCATCGAACAGACCTGAGAGGCAGGACCAGAGGAAGCGGGTAGTTGTGCCGACCCAGCCGGTGTCGAAGCCGTCGATCTCAAAGAAATCGAGCTCCGATGACTCGAAGATGGCGAAGGGAAGCGGTTTGGTGATGGAAAAGGTGACGATTCTCAGGAGAGGGCAATCCTTGGATTCAACGATTAAGAGCGAGGTTTTGAAGGCGGAAAGCGAGGACCTGGTGGTTTGCGGGACGCAGAGATTGGGTCCAGATCCAGAAATGGTTCCGAAGCAGATCCGTATCGTGAAGACCGACATGTACGCAGGATCGGCGTGTGCAGTGTCTCCGTCGCCGAGCGCGCTTCCTCTTCCATCTTTTTGGAAGAAGAAGGAGTGCTCAGTGGCCGTTGACGACTCTGCAACGCGAGATCTGAGGCGTCTCCTCCGGCTCGAATGATACGGAAGGGGTCGAAAATCGGGTTGGATGACCCGAAAAGAATAAATAATTCTCCCTTCTGTTTGTACCTTTCTCATCATCATCTTCTTCCCTAAGTCGAGTTTCGTCTTCGCTACGTCCCTCCCGGATTGAAGGTCTGGTCCGACTGTGATTTTTTTAAATGGAAGGGCAGATCTGAAACTGGGAAAAGAAGTAGGGGCGAAAACGTGAACAAGCTAGAAATAGTTGTGCTTGTGTTATTACCATCATCTATCGGGTCTGTTGTGTAATATTGTACGGTTAGTCGGGGTAAAGGAGGTTAAGTATGTGACAGAACAAAAAAGACGGAAGAAAAAAAAAGAAAATGGAGGGGTTGATTTGTAAAATTCGGAAAATATTAGGTTTGGTTTATGTGGTCATTGGTAAAGTCGGCGTCTGATTAGTAATTTATTTTCTTTCTAGTTCACTGGGCTGCGTCTGCAAGTGCGTTGTTACTTTTGCTTGTAAAGATAAAGAATAATTTTAGGGAAATATGGGCAGAATTCAATTTTTCACGCGTATCTGTTTTTACTTTTCTCTCTTCTTATTCTGTGTGTGAGAGCATTTAAGGTTTTTGTTAATATTTGTTTGTTGTCGAGGGATGAGAGGCATCTGACTTGAGGTGATAATTTCCAGACATAAGGTACATTGACACTTTAAAGGTGTTTTTTTAAATTGTCAGTATTTTAAAGTACTTTTATTGGTGTTTCAGCGCCTAAAAATATTTTTTTAGATAAGTTCATCATCTAAAATTTTATTTAGGTGTATACAGTATCATGGCAAAAAAAAATATTTTCCATCATCTAAAATTTTATTTAGGTGTATACAGTATCATGATAAAAAGATGTTTCAGATGTATTTAAAAATATTTTGACGTGTTAGATGGGTAACAAAATATTTAAAATGTTTCAGAATGTTAAATGTATTTAAAAAATATTTTAAAATACTAGATGAATATAAAAAAAAAATTCAAGATGATGAATGCTAAATCTAATCTTAACTTTTAATTGTTTTGGAATACGTGTGAAAAAGAATCTGCTTTAGGTTTTTCTTTTTCAACAAAGATTTTTGGATTTCTTACCATAAACCATTGTGGCCAGCTAATCAAGGCAAGATTTTTGTTACAGCCGTAATTTTACCGAAGGGGTCATAATGGTAATGAATTCTTCGAATTAGAGAAAACCATAATTCATATCTCATGCTTGATTTTTAAATGTTATCGTGAAAAAGTTGCATCGCTGTGATTAAAAAAAATATATTTGTTCTTATGCGGAATTACTAGGATAAAAGATGTCTGTGTCTTTCACAGATTTATTTGCCCCCTAAATTGGATGATGCATGGTCTCTAGAATCATCTGTTATACCAATTTTCCCTTTCCTTATGAGGTTTCGAACATGAAATTGTCAATGAAAAAAATTTAAGAAAAATAATTGAGCACCATCAGGTCATTTTTAAATAGGAAATAAAAATCACTTGTTAGTGATTTTTTGCATAACACTGGTAGATAAAGATGAAGAGGGGCGATCAAAATGTTAATCAATTATATTATATTATTCTAAATTATATATGTAATTTCTGTATATGATTATTATTATTATTATTATTGCACATTTTTGAAGTCGCTTTATGCCTCCCTTGACGTGATGGAAGGGGAAGCATATTGGATGGATGTCCGTTGACGAGCTCGCCACCTGGCCCCACCAGCTTAAAATATCGACGGCCTTGCTCGAACAGCAAGTAAACTTTCACCTTTCACATATTTCTAGGGAAATTTTCAACAAAAAAAAACGCATGAAAATTATGAAATTACGAAAAAAAAATGTGGTCTCATCTACAATTTAATTATTGTAAAAATTTATGAAATTATTGTAATAGGTTCTAATTCACGATTTTGCAATTTTCACGATTTCTTTTTACAATTTTTCCTATGTCTTCCCTGTATCCCACCAATCCTTGCGCGCTTCAAATTATGCTCTAATATTTGATTATTACGAGCTCCTCGATTTAATTTTCTTATATCACTGACTAGTGTCAACTTTTGAGTGTTGATCACAGCCAAAATTAAAACTCCAATCTTGAAAATTTTAGACAGTTTTTATATATTATAGCTCAACTTTTAAGTTTTTTTAAACCCTCCTTCCTCCCCTGTTTAAAAAACCTTTGAAGTGTACCACAGGACTTGCTTTAAGATGACTGAAATAAAAATTAATTAACGTAATACCCCTCTGATCCTTAATATAAGACTCATTTAACTAATTTGATTAGATTAAGGAAGTTAGGTAAGTTAGTTAATTATAAGAAATATGATGCGTTTTTCCTAAAATACCATAATTATCTTTATTAATACCCCATCTTCCTCTTCTACTTAATTATGGTTGAGGGAGTATCCATATGGGTAATTTAGAGAAAACTGATAAATATGAGAAATGGGTCTTATATTTAGGATCAAAACCAATTCAATAATTGAGTCTTATATTAAAGATCGGATGAGTATAATTCATGCTTGAATAGACTAACAAGTAATAACGTATTTATTTTCTATGACAGCAACAGGGTCGATCGGCCCAGCAAGCGATTGGGTTGCCGGCTAAAAAGATGGTTGAAAACTACGAAGTGCACATATGTAGGGTTTACTTAGAATAGTATACTTGCTTGATAAATCTTAAAAATGGGGTACAACTATAAAGTAGCCTAAAGGCATAAAGTAGAAGCTAGTAAGGTGTGGAAAATGAGACACAAATGAATGAGAATGGCTGGTTGCATGTGAGGAGAAAGAGACAAAGAATATAATGTGCAAAAAATTGTTTGATGGAATGGAAGAAAGTGTGCGTCTATATATGCTCTAATGGATCCAGTTTCCTGCTAAACACTGCGATCAGCATCAAGTGCTCATCACCCAAACGCATCGTTTCGGTAAAAAGCAGAACCAAATGCATTGTGGTCATCGTTTTATATGATGCAAAATCAACTTTATTTGCCCAGCCTAATATATCAACCTCCAGGACCCATGAGATTGTCTTTTAATCCAAACGTATCGTTATTTGTATAGTAACCTGAATTTCCATTCTCCATTCACAAGTTACGTTTCTCAGAGTATGGCCGAAAGTTGCTAAGCTGCTGCCAAAACTCAACAATTCCAGCAGAGATCAATTCCAAAATCAACACTGCTTTAATTATATGAATTTCTCTTCTGCATTTGAACCAGAGCGGTGCCATTTTTCTTCGAGAAATCAATAAAAATTAGCATGTGAACCACGCTTTTAAATTTTTGCAATGGCTTTGACTCTTTTCTTTTTTAAATCCTACCTTGGTTCATGAATCACCTCAACCATCAGACCAGATCTGCACAGTGCTTCCAAGTATTGCCGAACCAAATCTCTCGCCATACACCGCTGAACCAATAGCAAACATTTCTCCATTAATTATTAAGACGATGCGTTTGGGTGATGAGCACCACAGTGCTTATCAGGAAAATTGATTCCCTACTCTAACCCCTTTGTCATCCTCGTACACTTCTCGCCCAATCTATAAATTCTTAATGTTGCATATAATTGTGGGCATCAAAAACCATTTTATTGTATGGATGCTTCTTCCTTGATTTATAGTTCAATATTCCCAACATATTGTCCGTTAACTTCATTCTATGTAAACAAAACGTTATTTTATATATATATATTGAAAAATGTCGTGTTTTCTGCATTTGATATCCATAATTTTCATGACTGCGCAATTTGATTTTACGGTTCTCATATCTTCAGTTCCACAACGGAAACCATCCCTTCTTTCTCTTTCACTCTCCCATCTATATTTCTAGACGCAACTGCGTGTGCTGTAGAAAATATGTGGTTTCACTTGCAGTCCTCATAAAACTGCACTCTATATGTTCTTTCAATCCTTAATATAAAAAGCAGTTTGAATTTTAGTTTAGTTTTAAATATAAGATTTCAATCCACAATTTGTCTCCAACATTTGTCTATTTTGCCCTCAAAAAATTCCTATAGTACTGATTGCATATGTTAAGGAGTTAGTATCAACAGATAATTCAAACACACATGATTAATAATGATATTTTAGAAAAGACGACATCTATTTACTATAAACAACTAACTCAACTAACTTCTTTAATTTTTTTCAAATTATTAGTCAATTAGGTGTAAGTTTATATTAAGGACCAGGCGTTATAACTTAAACTTTGCTCTTAATATTTAGTTACTACTACCTCCGGTCCTTAATATAATATCTTATTTGATTTTTATTTTGGTCCTAAATATAAGACTCCAATTCACTTTGTCTCTTATATTTACTCAATTTTTTTCAAGATAGTCCTTCTAATAATTATAGGTCTAGTCAATACACTTGATTAGCAATGATATTTTAAGACAAACAATACCTATTTAGAACAAATAACTAACTCAACTTACTTTCTTAATCTCCTCAAATTAGTCAACTGGCTCTTAGAATTAGGAGCGGAGATAGTATTTGAAAATGCTTTTGCCATTTTCTGATAATGATCGACTTATCTTTTTTTGCCAACAATGATCGACTTATCTTGAATGCTACCTGCAAGATTCATTAATTTGACTTGTGATGTGTGAGATTAGTGCTGAGTTCCTTTCAACATTAATTTGCAATTTGCCAATTTCATTATATTATCTGTCATCAGTCTGCAAGCATAATGATTTATGCCTAATTGCAGTTAATGAGGATTTCGCTTAATTACAACAAACACATCACAAGCGTCAGTGCCTTAATTATTTGTTAACAGTCATCAATTACATGCATATTTTTGGAATGTTGAATCTTCTCTGATAAATCCTAATTGGTCTTGTCCAGTCATTTCTACCATATATATCGACTTGACTTGGTTTCAATTCGTTAGTTATTAGAAAATCCTATTTCTTTTTTTTTTGCAGGGAAATTAGAAAATTCTATTTCATCGTTATAGGGCCATAGTCAGTCAGGTGACTCAAATTAAGACCTAATGAAAGCAATATGTGTTGTGACGCCAACCAAGTTGGAAAAATGAAAACAAAAGAATACTATTGATGACTTGGTGCATATTTTTTGACTTTTCCAAAACGATCAGACACATTAGACCAAGTTTTTTGATCAAGTACGTGTTTTTTTCAGGTCAAGTTTACTCAAACATCAAGAAACGTTCAACTAACATTCAAATTTAAGTACGTGTATTATATACATATCGATCCTTTACTAAAAGCCTAATCAATATTCACAAGGAAAATAATATCTCATTATTTATCATATTCATGCAATGCAATAATTAGAAGTCCCTTTTGATCTGTTGGACAATATTCTTATTATTTCATTATAAAGGCACCCTGTCACCTGTAAGATATATGAATTCCTTTTTGAACCTCAATTCATGGATTTTTATGATATAATACAACCTAAGCCAAACAAGTGCTGAAAGTAATTGATTACTTAATTAAGGACTTACTTATATTAATAGCAAACACGACCTCCTGTCATCTTATCCCAAAAAAGGAACAAATCTCGAATTCGAATGTTATATATAGCCAATTAAAAAGAAGTTAACGTCACTTGATCGCATATTCACACACAAACACACGCATATCTATACATACATACATATATATATATATATATATCTAATTTTATAATACACTACTTCTGATCCTTTATATAAGAGCTAATTAAAAATTAAATTTTGGTTCTAAATATAAAACTTCAATTCACTTTATCTCTCATTTTTTTTCCAAAATATCCTATTGATCTTATTGTTAGGGTTCTCACCCGTGAATAATTTCAATCATTCAATGAATATGGTTAAAGAGGATATTTTAGGGAACTAACATATATGAATAATAAATAACCAATTTAACTAATTTTTTAAAAAATTTTTAAATTACTTATCTAGTTTTTTTTTAAATTAAAGACCCAAAGTAGTAATTAGGTTTGTAGCGAGAATATGATGAAATAATGATCTAAGTTGGCCTAAAACATGACTTGTTCCACCACAACATTCAAATTCTCTCCCTTCCCCCATTGTTCTGATGCATGTTCTTGGTAATATGACAGTATGACTGGTAGCTGCGTTAATTCTGCCAATTAACTAGTAGATAAGGGTCTATTCTTAATTAGTTACGTTGGTCAATATATACTTGCGCACACTAATTAAATTGATAAATTTTGGTAGAAACACTGAGATAAAAAACCACGTTCTTGTGTATTTCAGGTAAATTTGGATATATATTGCAGTTTCCGTGAACATGTTGAACTAATCTTTGAATGCCTGGGATCGATATTATTTTCAGATCACTAAAAATCACAAGTTATTATTCAAAGACCACTCTCTGTGTGAGTATACATGTTAGAAATTAATAAAAAAAATTGTATATATTAATATTGAAATCGATGAGGCCATGAGGATATTTTGTAGAAAACAAATTGGGGTCTCACCATCATTATTAATTACCTGGATAAACAATTTAAATTTCTGATTAGGATTTGTTTTTGTTTTGTTATCATATATCATATATAAGGAGGAGAGAATGGTACTCGAATTGCGTGCGTATGGGAATTAATTACGAAAAAAAGAGTTGGACCCATTTTTTTTAAGAAAAAGAAAAAGAAAAAGGGTATATTATTATTCGATTGACAAAATTAATACTCTTTCTGTCATTAATATAGGATCTAATTGTAAAGTTGCTTTTATTCATAAATATAAGACCTATTTCTCACATTTATTAGTTTTTCCTAAATTATTCCTATTGATACTCCTTTAAGCATAATCAAGTAAAAGAGAAATGGAGGATATTGAAGAAGATGATTATGGTATTTTAGGAAAATCATATCATATTTATTATAATTAACTAACTTACCTAACTTCCTTAATCTAATCAAATTAGTTAAATAGGTCTTATATTAAGGACTAGAGGAGTATTACTTTTGACCCTTAACATAAGAACTAATTTGACTTTCAATTTGATCCTAAATATAAAATCTTAGTTTACTTCATCTTTCATATTTATCTATTTTTTGTTACGTAATCTTTGTAATAGTTGCACATGTTAAATGTTTCATCAATTATTTATTCTAGCTAATACATTTCATTAGCACATCTAACTTAACTAATTTTTTTAATTTACTCAGATTAGTTAACTAATTTTAATACTTATTAAAGATCGCACCATGTATAAAAGAAGCAGTACTATATGACTTAGGAAATAAATGGGTGTAAGCAGCATATATATGTTGCTGCACGCACGGGAGATATAACATCGGGGATCAGCTTTGTTTGGCATCAACCACGCAATTCATATGATTTTTTCATCCACCATATATATAACTTTTATTTTAATCATAAATATAAGACCTCAATTCATTTTGTCTCTTGTATTTATCTATTTTTTTCTAAGATAGTTCTTCAAATAATAGTAGTTCTAGCTAATACACTTAATTAGCAAGAATATTTTAGGAAAGACAACACCTATTTATTACAAATAACTAACTTAACTAATTTTTTTTAATCTGTTCAAATTAGTCAACTAGCTCTTATACTACCTCAAGTCTTATAAAACCTTATTTGTAGTCTATAAACAAGATATTATAATTAGGATCGGAGTTAGTATTAAGGAGCGGAAGTGGTAATATTTAAACGAAGAAAACGAATGAAAAGAGTGTAGTTGACTGCTATACAGCGACACCTAACATTCCATGAAGTTTTTTTAGGTTCGACCAAGTCATGAGTATCGCGGGGAGTTGTGTGGAATCGTCAATCATCATATGCTCATAATCTTGTTTGGCTGATTCAACATAAATAATATTATTGTAATAAACGACTGACAATTCAAAGCTGGATTCTTACAATAATTAGCTTGAATATTCAGATTCAGATGAATTATCTATGAAATCAAATCAAAGACCGTACTTGCACCAATATTATGCACTCCCGAAAAGGGAAACACAAAAGCCGCCACCACGCACCATACATCTTTCGTGGAATCTCTCTCTTCCTCCATTCTCCTCTATAAAACCCCCCCACCCATACCTCAACCATGAACAATTAACCCACAATATAACAACATGGCTTCATCATCGTCTTCCTCCTCCAACTCCCAAACCATAACGGCAAAGACATTTACTGGACTCGGTAACCTCATCAAGCTCCTCCCCACCGGCACTGTCTTCCTCTTCCAATTCCTCAACCCCGTCGTCACCGATACCGGCCATTGCACCACCACCAACAAGATTATCACCGGTGCTCTCTTTGTCGCCTGCGCCTTCAACTGCTGCTTCGCCTGCTTCACCGACAGCTACACCGGCTCCGACAAACAGAGGCACTATGCCATCGTCACCAGCAAGGGGCTGTGGCCGGCGCCGGCCTCCGAGAAGGTCGACATGGCCAAGTATAAGCTCCGGGTGGGGGACTTCGCTCATGCTTTGTTAGGGTTGGTCGTGTTCGCTGTGCTGGCTCTTCTGGACGCCAACACCGTGCATTGCTTCTACCCCAACTTTGAAAAGGCGCAGAAGATTCTGATTCAGGTGCTGCCGCCGGTGATCGGGGTGGCGGCGGGGGCAGTGTTCATGCTGTTCCCTAATACTCGCCATGGAATTGGATACCCATTCTCATCTGGCGACGAGAATAACAATAATAACAGCAAGGACAAGAAAGAGACCACAAATAATAACACCACCAAGCGTGTTCAGGTGTAGGGATAATAATGTTAGGAAACATCGATCTATTATTCGTATAGTTCTTTAATAGTTTGAGATTGAAGAAATATAATTGTGCATGACAGGTCCAGTAAGTTCATGTTTCACCAGAGCAGCCTATTACGTACGACTGTACAACATAATTATTCTCTAGATGTGTATATATGTAGGAATTGATTGCTCTCGGGCACCAATTATTTATTTCATTCAATATTCATAATCAAATTTATCTGTTTTGTATTTAAAATGTTGTTTTTTTAATTCTTTCCTAGCTGAGAGATATGATTGTAGCTCTTGCGCAACTACGCTGAGCCCATATATACATTGATGAAAATAAGATGTGTAACTGTGTCTGTATGAGAGAAGATCTGAGACAAAATTAATACATATTTGATTTGATTTTTGCATTATTGATGACCTCGATCGATTATTGATTTTAAATTTATGAACTTCCCTACAAAGTACAAACTGATGAAGAGGTTAGGTCCAATCCATATATTGGTGTGGCATTTCATTTATATGCATGTTTTAAAAAAAAATAATGGAATGTGTACATATAGGTTGCTTGATTTTGGTTGAGGTTGAGCTTATATAAATGAACTTTGGTCACAGGTGCACGGAGAAATGAAGTTGAAACTCCCTGAATGGCCCTAAATTAATCAGTTAAATTTCCCTTTAATTGAAGAGCATTTAATGTCCGATTTGACACCTTACCTCCCACCAATACTATTAATCAGGCAAATTAATTGAAGGGAGAAAAATCTCAGAGGGGTGTTTGGCAAATTCCTTCACATATTTATTTTGTAAACCGTAAAAACACTTTTAAAATCATGGTTTGGTTTTCATTCAAACACCCAGATCCAAACACTCAGACAGGCTGAGACGATAATGCAGGTACGTCACAAAGTCCCACATCGAACACTAAAAGAAGATAAGGTCACAAGACAAATAGTAGAAATTATCTGAGTAATTCATTAATCATTAAGCTCCTCGTATTTTAATTTCGTGAGCATATCACCCATGAGAATGCGTTTGGGATGGTGTGCGTCGTCATAATACAAAACGTAACGTTTAAGGTATCTTACTTATCAATTTAATTAATGCCTAACCAGTTGCGTCAGGTTCGAAGTCGGACTTCCCTACGATTCTCTCTATTTATTTATTTTTTTCCCCCCAAATAATGGTTCTCTCAAACTGTTGGAACTGATAGTATTATATGTGCAATTATATAGTCACGTTTGAATTTTTATTTTTTAAATAAAAAATAAACTACGACATGGCCTTAGCAGTAACCACCTCTTATTCAATTTATAAGTTAGCGAGAGCATTTTTTTTCCCTATTCATAAATCAACTTTTTACATGAATATGTTATTTTATTTTTTATTTATCGTTGTATAACTATTATTTTTTTAAAAAAATAGAGATCACTTTCCCATCACCATATATATTTTGATGAAAATGCACATACTGGGGCCCAATTGGTGGAAGTTTTATATCTTACATTAACTAGAAAAGAGAGTGGAAGGAGACAGCAGCAAGATGGGTGGACCTTTGAAATTTTTTAGCATTATGGACAGTTCATGCATCTTGTTAGATTAAAATGAATAGTAGTGAACCAAATTAATAAATATGCCATTGAAATCCCATTCAAACTTTGAACAGTAAATATCACTTTCCATCGATCGTGCGTGGCATAAAATGGATGACATGCATAGTGAATGTGACATCCACATATTTTTTTTGGGCTATGTATCTTAGTTATCTCATATATTTTGCCCTTAATTTCTATTTAATCAACATTGATCTAGAGGATCCCCAGATGTATATTAACTTTCAATTAAAAAATAACCCATTAATTAAAGAAGGACACGCATATTTAAGGTTTTTTATTTCGATTTTTGACCAACTCCAAGCCATTAATAATATACGTTTCTTTGGCCAATAATAAATCATTAATATACATTGTTTTGCACATATAAATCTTCCACTTTGAAAATGTCAGAAATCAGAACTTTTTTTTTTAAAAAAAAAAATCTTAAATCGACAAGCCTCTATTTGTCTTCAACATTATCTTGTGTCATAAGCTAATTAGATAAACTATGACGAAGTTTAACGACTTAATCATAATACCGAATTTTTAAAATCCAAAAAAGCTAAATGACCAAACTTAAAAGGAACCCTTGGCATTTTCAAATAAAATTAAATACGAACAAGCAAATGGGAGATATAACTGAATGTATATTATTCACCATTCATGTATGTATAAATAAGCATGCAAATAAGAACAGAACAATTATATATCTTCATCGATCATCATTCAAAAAACCTCTACTTCAACGATAATGGATCCTACCAGCTTATTGGGAAATAGCACCAGCAGCAAGGAGAAGCAACACAAACGCGTCACAGGAACCTTATTCTCAGGACTCAGCAGCCTCATCAATCTTCTGCCGACCGGCACCGTCTTCCTCTTCCAATTCCTCAACCCCATCGTCACCAATTCCGGCCACTGCACACCCTTTCACAAGTACCTGTCCGCCGCATTCCTCATCTTCTGTTCCTTTAACTGCTGCTTCGCCACCTTCACCGACAGCTACACCGGCTCGGACGGCAGAAAGCACTACGGCGTCGTCACCACGAAAGGGCTTTGGCCTGCGCCTTCGTCTGAGTTGGTGGACTTGTCGACGTACAGGCTGCGAGTGAGGGACTTGGCACACGCCTTGTTGTCATTGGGCGTGTTTGGAGTGTTAGGGTTTTTGGACAAGAACACGGTGAGTTGTTTGTATCCGGTGATGGATGCGTATGATGATATTCTGTTGAAGGTGTTGCCGCCGATCATGGGGGTGATCTCTGGAACGGCCTTTTCGATCTTCCCGTGGAAGCGTAATGGAATTGGGTACTGACACCTCCAAGAAGATATAACCAGTCAGTTGAGAGAAGATACGTGAAATGAAAAAAGCACAGAGCAGTCAACGTAACATCAATGGCTTTTTTCGGTTATATTTGCTGTGCATGTAATATATAAAAATATATGATCTGATGTTTCTGAGAAGTGTGTGTTTTATATGTGCCAAATGTAAAAAGTTGAAGACTGGCTTATCTTGGCTGTTTATGATTCAATTTATTAGGTTCTCATTAAAAGGAATATATATATTTTTATGATCTATATATCCCACTGAGAGCCTATTTGGATAGAGACAACAAGCTAAGGCTGCACAGAAGGAAGAAGAGAAACAGAAATAATAGAAAGGAAATTATATAGAGTCCAGAAAGAGGCTTGCATCCACGAAATTCTTCACACCCTGCACGACCCTTTTTCATCTTTATTTATCTTCGATCACTTCGTTTCTATTAATACATATTGGTTTTGCCCCTTCGAAAAGAAAAATAATTAGCCATAGCGCATCAGCAATACGAAAATTAATGTCTACCTTTCAATCGCGTACGGTTCATCTCAGACTTGTGACACATGCATCCTCCACAATTTAGAGTCTCTGGTTATATAGACAGTTTACAGGTTGCGCACAATCTGTAGAAACTGGACGCCTGATATCTTTTTGGGTACAGTTCACGCCCCCCCCTATGGTTTATGTTATTAGCTTATAATAAGTAAAGTATGTTGTTTTTATTAACTAAGCAAGACTTGTTTTTTTATAGCCCAAGGGAACATCGTTTGATTCTTCAAAATATTGTGAGTTTCTACTTTGTTGACAGCCAGCTCAAACCTCAAAGCGTACATTTGTGTTGAGCGAGACTTGAAAGGAAGGAATATGTACGCTCGTGATTCATAAAGCAGAAAGAGTACAAATATTTCCCCAACACAAAAAAGAAAAGAAAAGAGGAAGGATTAATTAAGAACCGTCTTATTCTGTCATTTGTTTGAAAGCGACTTATAACCTTCTGGCGGAAAAAAGAGAGAGAGAGAGAGAGAGAGAGAGAGAGAGAGAAAGCGACTTATAACCTTCACGGGGAGAAAAGCCCTTCCTGTAATAAATTAAAAAGGGCAAATGTGGGACTTCATTCATCTTCCCTGTGTGGCTAGCTCTAACTGAATTAAATTGATCCCATCTTCACTAGGCAGATTTAATCACAACTTAAGCATCCAATGCAACATGTTCTTCCATATATCAAATACATCATGTTAATGTAATCTAAAATATATTGCAGTGAAGAGGAAGATCACCTAATTAACCTAAGCTGTTGCATATATCAAATACATCATGTTAATGTAATCTAAAATATCAAATCTTTTCCATGGAACAAGAACTTTTGGGAGGTGGGGTTAGTTCCCAAACATTCGATGCAGAACAAGGTGGAGCAATCCTCTTGACTCTCTGTTTTAGTTTTCTGCATCTTCTAATGACATTTTTCTGTGCAGCTTCTGCACAATTTACTTTCACTATATCTACCTTCACTATATGGTGATCAGAAGTGCCTTTAGAAGAAATGACTGAGTATGAGCCTGGAACAAATTCGTAGGGCGAGTCTGGTGAGCTCAAAATGTAGTCCACTCGCGTCCCATATTTGCATGTCCCCTGTACATCTGATTTTAGAATTCCTATCATTATCTGAACTCAGACAAAACAGGCAAAAGACGTATACTGGCAGATAGAGAATTAAATTTAGAGAACAATTTTATAGTTACTTTGGCCTTTGGTCATGATGACTATAGGCTCGCATTCTCCAGCATAATCCTTTGCATCGACATAGTCTTTTGATTTCATGTAGTTCATCACTTCGGTCTTTGGCCGAGGCTTTCCCAGTTTCTCATAATACTGCAAAAATCGCTCGTCTCAGAGAAGTCTCTACGGCAAAAGTTATATTGACAATGAATGTTTTCGGCTCAAGTTTGGGCTTTTATGACCCAAAAAGAGTTATTCCCTGATGGGCCTAAGCCCATGGCTGTTGGATGGCAGAAACATTGTACTGTCGTGCGAGAGAGCAATACCTTGACGATATCTGTCCATCTCTCTGCTGAGTAATCTGCAACATCCAGAGAATTGAGACCTCCTGCCAAGATGTGAGGAGGGTCATTGTAGCTCATTATGGCATTGACTTGCTTCATTCTCCAATTCTCATCCAGATGATCAAGTTGAGTTGAGTGAAAATTGATTTCTCCTGCCCAAGGCACATCAATTGTGGCCTTCAAAACATTCCTGCGTCACACAAAATGGATGTAAATCGCATTGTGCCCGCAAAAAATTTAAGCTTTTGATTAATGCTTTTTGGATCAACAGAATAACAAGAGATTTGGGCTTTTAGGAACGTGGGGAAGCACCTGAAATCATCATCATCAGCAATTTTCTGAACTTTCCATCTCTTGATTGGCCATTTTGATAAAATGGCATTTCCATATTCAGGAGCCCAACTCTCAGCAAAAACAAACTTCATTCCCAAAGCAGCTGCCAAATCTGATAGAGGCTTCATGCTCTTCTCTTCCTCAGCCTTCACATCTTGCAGTGCCAACACATCAGCATCTAACTCCCTCAGAACTTCCAGGATGCTTCTGCTGCTCCTAAATCTCTCGTTGCTTCCACAGTAATAGTTCACAATAGGAGAAAAGCATACTGGGGACCTTGCTGGGACGTGGCTTCTCCTTCTTGATGTGCCCTCTTCGACATCATTATCATCCATGGAAGCCAGCAGCCTACTGTTGGCTTTTGAAATCTCATTTTCAGGAAGATTAATGGAAACCTTCAAGTTAGATCGAGGGAGAATCTTGGAGTCAGAGAGATCCTGAACCTTACTCAGAGAGGCATGCAGTGGAGAGTGCTTCAGTATACTTTTGGGGTAAGCAACTTTCATAGGAGAACTCTTGTTGTTACTGTAAGACCCCAATTCATCAGCTTCTGAAACAGCAGGCGCAAGGGAGAACATTGCAACATTGAAAGTAGCAATCCTAATAGGCTTTACATGCACAGAATCTGAGTGATTTGTAGTTTTACTGAAGGCAGACTGCTGTGGTCTGGAGTGATATTTGGAGTTCAACTTTCTGAATCTTTTGATCACAACTTTAGACCTTGGTCGCTTCCATAGCAGCCAACTTATCCTCGAATAGAGGAACCTGAGTTTTCTTCTGAGCAAACCCCACATCTTTGAACACAGAATCTAACAGGCTATTATGCGCAGAAGAATATGTGTTGGGGGTATCTGGATTCATGTGAAGCTCGTAGTTTCTTTAATCACCATGATTTGTGATGCAGGTCGTAGATAATAAATTAACGAGTCAACGTACGCAAATAATAGAGACAAAGGTAGGTGCTAACTAATCCACGGAGTGAGTTAGACAGAGCTTGGAAGATTGACAATGGAGCCATATTGTTGAGCCTCTTTTCCCACACAACAAAACAAGGCCAACTGCTCCCAATCATAGCATCAATCGTGACTCCAGCTTCTAAAACTACTATTATATTCTGACTTCCTTAGCTTTATTCTCCCGCTAAATCTCTTTTCTGAACCATATTAAAATAATGCTTTTTCCCCTACCTGTGGCATTTTAAATTTATTTCTCCTACGATACTCCTCAGAATAATTAAATCTGAGTTGATTAAAAAAAAAAAAAATCTACCCTGTTTACAAACGAGACTGCTAGGCGGAACTTATCTCGAAAATCACGAAAACTTAGCTGACCACCCTTTTTTAATTATCATAAAAATTTCAATATTTAATTGTGATATAAGTTCTGTCCGCCTCCGTGATTGCGAAATGGGGCTGATATACATATATATTACCTCTGGTGCTTGATATAAAAGTTAGTTGATTAATTTGAATAGATCAAAAAATTAATTAAATTAGTTATTTGTAATAAATAGATGTTGTCTTTCTAAAAATATCTTGCTAATCAAATATATTGACTAAAAATACTTTATCACAAGACTATTTTAAAAAAGTGGATAAATATGAGATATAAAATAGATTGGAGTCTTATATTTAATAAAAAATAAAAATCAAATTATTTCTTATATTAAAGATTAGAAACACTGTGTATATATGTACGTATGTATAGCACGTTAATACTCGAAATATTGCCACTTTTGTATTATAAAGTGCAATAGTTTGGATGGGAATTTCCACCATGTGATAGCTGTCGAAGCTAGGATTCCTTGGGGTTCTTTTCGCCGAACAAGATTAAGTCAATAATGTAGGTAGAGAAGATGAGAGATACTCCCTCGCTACTTAATATAAGATCTATTTAATTAATTTAATTAGATTAGATAAGTTAAGTAAATTAGTTAACTATAAAAAATATGACATGTTTTTTTTAAAACACTATAATCATCTTTCTTAATATCTTTTATCCTTCACTTATTTGATTATGGTTAAAGAAGTATTTATAAAGATAATTTAAAAAAAATTGATAAATATGAGAGATAGGTCTTATATTTAGAATCAAAATTAACTTGACAATTAAACCCTATATTAAAACCTGGAGGAGTAATATTTAATAGATACCGGCAATTACACCAATGTGAAGGGGAGGGGAAAAATCATTGTATCAGTTGATTTGACAATTATGTGTGAACCCGATAGAATTCACAGATGCTACAATAGTAGTCCAGCAGAACTGGATTTGACTTCGAAATATGTCCCCTCACTAACGGTGGTTGCAACTATCTCAAGGTGGTAAGCTATAAGTTAGCAAATACATCAAACGCAGGTCCAAACCTTCCTCAGCAATGGGCGGGCTCCTTTTTGAAGGCTAAGTATTAAATATAGCATCTCCATCTACCAGTTGGATTGCTCCGGATCCTATTCTGAGTGATTCAAGTATTTAAGCCCTCGTTCGTTTGGCCAAAAAAAAAAAAAATATTTGAGCCCTCAAACTACATTCTCAGAATTTGATGTGCCCAAGAACTCAGGCATCTTCGATCAATCATTGACAAATAATGCATCCAGGAGGTTAGAAGATGAATTTCCATTCTCAGTCTCATCAAAGAAGCCGTTTGCACCATTTTCCCTCCTAGCTTTACGCTCCTCAGCAATAATATCATCCGTTTCAGCACAGTAGTTTCGCCGACCTTGTTTCATAGGTTTCTCAGCAACAATGAATTTGTTTCCATCACGAGATCTTTCGGCAAAACCTGCCCAGACTGATGAAATTCATAGGTCAGAAATTACAGATTTTTACAGATAGATAAAAAAAACAATCCAGAACCATCACCCAACAAAAGAAAAAAGAATTGGAGTAGCATCACGATAAAAATGAAATACAGCTGGAGTATTTTTACTTGATTGTGCTGCTCGATGTGTGCAAGTTTTATATCTTTATCACTTATCAAAAGCAAACGTTCTGATACAAAATTTTATTTTCAGAAAGAATTGTTAAAGCACAATTTTTCTAAGGTGGCCAAAATATGGGAAACCCAGCATTCACCATGCACGTAGAAGTAACGCAAATCAGCATAGACTCACAACTGAAGCAGTTATTTGTAAGGAAGCCATGCTTTAATGTATGTTAAATAACGTTCGTTCAAGTTTCCAAGGAGTTGACAAGAACAGGCTCAGAATAGCATATCAATGTTGACTATCAATAAGACCCGACAAACTTAAGCATCCAAGTAGAAGGTAAAACACTACTAAGAAAAAAGAATGTGAAAGAAGTTACGATCTCAGACAGTGATATTAAGCATTATTTGAGAGATTTATAAGGTTGTAGGTATTGGAAATTTGACAGTGAATCACATGTTTTCTGTTGAATAATCCCCCTTATTTTTCACTCCTTAATGTCACAAAAGCCCAAAGGATACTTGGTAATCACACCGAGGAACTGTGTAACAGATAAGAGGTTCTCCTTCAGACTAAAAAAGGAGTCTCAGACAAACATCTATTCTTCATTAGCATAAGCTTCACGCCCCCACTAGGGTTACAAGGCAGGCCAGAACTACTCAGCTCAGCAGACATATAGCTATTCTAAGCTACTGCTTTTCCCAAGTTAGATGAGGACAAAACGTAGGAAAGAGGACAATCCTGGAACTTAGACGATGACAGAAGGAAGCTAGAAAAGAGAGGTCAAAAGTAGCCGCATAAGTAGGATTTAAACCTCAGAATAAATATATCCAATCATGAAAAGAGTATCATCACGTTAGTGCACAAGTAACTTACATTCAAAATAGCATATTCTTGTAAAGGAGATATATATACATAACGTCAGACCTAAATGTAGCCTAAACTGCAGTATTTTAAGTTTAGTGATATAATACCTCCAAAATGATGAAGTACAATCGAAGCTGCTACAGTGACATTCAATGAAGCAGTGCCACCTCCATATTGTGGGATATAAACAAAAAAGTCACATATCTCACATTCCTTAGCAGAAAGGCCCGTACCCTACATAGAAAATTTTGGAGGTATCACCAAATATAGCTTAATAACAAGAGAATCAAGACTCTGACTTTTAGTGAGCTTGATTGCAATGACAGAGGATTTCAATGTGATACTCCTTCGTTGCTCTTGTCAGTGATGAGTTTCTGTGATATTTCCTGACTAATTATCCATGACAAACTTGATACCACCAACCCAGGACGATTTAAATTTTGGAATGACGAGTATAGCATCAATCATTGACACAATAAATTTACATAGTAGAACGTCAAACCTACCAACTATCAAATATGACAGCAATCACATTCAAATGTCCTAGAAATTACCTATTCACTGATAAATCTCGCAAGTACTTGCGGAGTATTAGAGGCAGACACAAAGGTTCCCAAAATATCTTCAAGGACCTATTAATTAACAGGTTCAAATTCACTAGTCCAGATTACAGGCAGCTAAATGATTAGTCTATCACTGAGATATACATATAATTTTCACCTGGACGAGAAAAGATTCACGTTATGTGTAAAAGCATATTAAAAAGGGAACAACGTTAATTATGAAGAAATCATGTCATTAAGAACTGGGCAGTCTTACTAGAGAATAAGCCTCTGCACAACATCAAACGATACTTCAATGTCAATCGGATGGAAATACCTCGTTCCCAAGCAGGAAAGCTGTGCTTTTCTTGAAGGGATGCTGATTGATGGGTTTGGCATCGTCCGTAATCTCCACGCCACAAATATCACAGTCTTTCTCCTGCAAGAGCAATCATTGACCCGAATTTATACATTTTGGCGATGCACAATTTTAAGATCGCGAGACAGAGTATGCATAGAAAGATAAAGTCTGAGACCTTTAGGAAGTGACGAGCATCTTCGAGTGAGTGAAAGTGACGGAAACGGAGGTGAGAGGTGGAGCCATGGCTACCGAATGAGTTGAAATCTCTACGGCCAACTAGTATGAGCTCGGATACTCCAAAGGCCGTGGCGCTTCGTGCAAGGGTCCCCACGTTGTGCCTTTTGGCTATATTATGCACCACCACGTAGCTCTCCAACACCATTTTCCCTCAAGTTCAGAAAGTGCAATTTTGGGGCCAGCAGACAGCTCGAGCATGAGCCCGAGAAAGGTTTAAGCAATGGGGAGTTTTGGGTTTTGCTCCTGAACCCGCTTCTCCAGCAAGAAAGCCGGCAGCGTATGAATTCGTTCTTCTTCGCGCCACAATTACAGGACGGCAAAACCCGCAAGATCTCCCAACCCACTTTCTCAGTATAAGGGTACCGCCTCTGGCCTGACCCAGATCTTCATTGACATTGACCACTTACTGTTTTAATTATTTTCTTTATGCAATGATTCTATAGTTTTATTAATTCCATTTAAATTTAAATAAATAATATAACTATAAATTTTATATAAGTAAATTATAACTTTTTATTTTTTTTCCCATTGAAATTTAAATTTTAAATGCCTCCAAACGAGTAATTCAACAAGTTTTAAATTTTAAGTGCCTTTTTTTTTGAGTGAAAATTTTAAGTGCCTTATTTGCGAGCATAAATCAGAATAACATTTTCGAAAGGACTCCAAAGTTACCAATATAGTTGGCTACTAACCCGAATCCAACTCTGAAGAGGCCTTGAGTTAAGTTTTCATGCATCGACTTTATCAGGCAGTGTCAAAAAAATTCATGCATGAAATCCCAAATATTCTTCCTTCCTTCAAAGCCAACCATTTTAAAAATTTCAAGATTCTTTTCTTCCGAGATAAAACCATGAACAATCAAGCGCCGACCTCCTTCGCCTCCTGACAAGACGCTTAATTTCTTTCTTTTTTTTTTTTAAGCACAAGTATTCTATTATTAGAAGTAATGCTTTTTAAAATACTATTGTGCATTAAATATAGACACCTCTCAATAAAAACATTAATTTAATATATTGTGAGGGACTATCTTTTTTTGTTAAACTCAACCCTTGCCGGTAAGATGCTTAATTTTTATGGAAAAGGATAATAACATGTACAAGAAATTCTCTACAGAGCTATCTTTGGAGTGATATAAAATATAAATTATTACATGCATGCACAATTAACAATGAATTTTACAAGATATAGGTATTATTACATGATACATTTTATACGACTATGTAATATTAATATAGGTAAATTTTTCCCTTGTTTTATTCATCAAGATTCTGTATTAATCTGTGTGTTGTATTATAATACGTATGTTAGTAGCCTTCCTTGGTCTGGCCTCAAACAAGCCTCCGTATCTTATGTACAGGAGCTTAAGAACCACATTTATTTACCACTGTACATAGCCATGCAAGGTAGTTAAATTAAACCTTCTCGAAGCAACTCATCGTGTTTCAAACTGCAACTTGAGCTGCTGCGAGCCTAGCGATAGGAACCCTGCAAAACAACACCGAGGTTCTCAGTTTTGAAGTTTAAATCGTATGTTCAGAATCTCATCTCACATGACATGAAATGCAGCAGTTCACCTGAATGGCGAACAAGAAACGTAGTCAAGTCCAATGTGAGCGAAAAATGCAACAGAAGAAGGCTCCCCGCCATGCTCTCCACATATTCCAACCTGTTCATCTTATATATTAATTGCAGAAGCTAGATGGAGTGGAAGAAACAGATTTTTACGACTCGGTATTTACCATGGCGCAAAGAAATCTTAATTTTTGAAACCTAGTAACTGATGAAAGCACTTCAAAGAAACATCAGTATGGATTGTGTACGAAGATTTGAAGCTGCTGATTGCAACCTTAAATATTTACGTCCGCAGAAGGCCTTAAACCAGCTTTATCATGTTATACAAAATTTCCACTATTGTTAAGTATTCCCACCTTTAAGTTAGGTCGAGCAGCACGACCCTTTTCAGTGCAAATCCTGATGAGTTCACCAACACCTCTCTGGTCGAGAACCTGTAATTGTTGTCAACAATCCAAATTTAGCAACCATTCCTAACATTTCTTCAATAAGAGAATGAGCCTGCACGCAAATAACCTCAAACGGATCGCTCTTTAGAATGCCATTGGATAGGTATATGGGAAGAAATTTGCCGACGTCATCTCTGCTGTATCCAAACGTCATTTGTGTAAGGTCATTGGTTCCGAATGAAAAGAATTCTGCTTCCTTCGCAATCTGCCAAAACGAATCACAAAAATAATAGTTAGCAGGTGACGATAAAAGATGAGTGAGATGGGATGAGCGAAAGGAGATTGAGCGTTTCATTTATATGGATTCTTAAGACTGTTTTAGAACCGTAATATGATTCTTCAAGACATAACGAAATAAAAGTACCTCATCTGCAACTAGAGCAGCTCTTGGAACTTCGATCATGGTTCCGACCTTATAGCTTAGGGAGGAACCCATCTCAGAGAAGACTTTCTCAGCAACACTTCTGATCAATCTCACTTGATGCCTTAATTCCTGAAGTTTAAACTGTCAGCATAACTTAAATTTTTTTAAGGAAAACAAAAAAAGAGCACAAAAGGAAGAAGAATCCCAGCGTATAGCATATGCTTGATATAGGTCAGAAAGGCTTCATCCAGAACATATGAACTAATAGAACCTTTGAAATTTCATTTATTTTTAAGTGAGTATGAGGATATAAAACCAACAATTCTTATACAAGCATAGCCCATATTTTGAACCAAAAAGAAACACAAACAACCGGGTAGAAGTGAGGGAGAAGGGGATCATGCCTGAGGTGTACCGATAAGTGGAACCATTATCTCTGGAAGAACTGTAATGCCATGGTTACTCATGGAAACAGCAGCCTGAAAAATTGCACGTGCTTGCATTTCCGTCAGTTCTGGGTATGAAATCCCGAGCCTGTTGACCGATTTTCAACTTGCACATATCAGCAATCGTGGTCCAAATAGGATAGTTCAATTCTTTAACAATAACAACGAGAGGTTCATATTGTCTTATAGAAAGGAATTGCAAAGAAAATGCAGGCAATCTCTCTATACACTCTCACAAGAAGGGCATTTGAACCTGCAACCACGAAAACCGAGCATAGGATTGACTTCTGATAGTTTTTCGATCCTGGAGAAGATTTCTTCTTCCTTCATGCCTGTCTCGGAAGTCAGTTCACTGACAATATGTTCCAGATCACCTTCTGGAAGAAATTCATGAAGTGGAGGATCTAGCAATCGGATTGTTACAGGAAAACCTGAAATTCCCAAGTTAAACAAAATAAAAGACAAATAAATCTTCAATGAACACGCCATGCTTAAGGCAGAACATGAATACAAAGTATCATATGTTGATTTATGATTCTGATGTCTGTTTAGTACGTGCAGATAATCCATGTCTCACGGATAAGTATCATTTACCATGACAAAGGCAAACAATGATTCTCAAAGCCTATGATTAAGAAATATGTAGTGGAAGTATTATGATGGTTTAATAAAGTCTCACACTTCTCCAATTCACAAAAACAAACTCTAAACTTTGCAACAGACAGTGAGAAAGTACCATCCATTGCACGGAATATTCCCTCAAAGTCAGATCTCTGATAAGGTAGTAACATGTCAAGTGCGACTTTCCTTTGTTCAGGTGTGATTGCCATTATCATCTTTCTTACAGCTTTTATCCTCTCATCTGAAGCAAAAAACTGAAACATACCAAAACTTGTAAATAATCATTTAAGTGGGCAAGTTTTGTGTCAGTCAATAACAGGGCATCAAAAGACACAAGAGGGTTTAGATGTTTATTATTATTTTTAATGAGTAACACAATTTAATTTTTCAAACCAATTCCACCCGTAGCTTTTAAGGTGCTAGATATGAGCGATGCTTGCGCTATATCATCGCTATAACATGGAGCTCAAGAAAAATCAGTACCATGTGCTCTGTCCTACAAAGCCCGATTCCTTGGGCACCGTTGTTTCGGGCTGCTATTGCATCTTCAGGCGTGTCAGCATTTGCCATAACCTGAACGATAATAACAATATGAGATATCTCCCATAAGGTAAAAAATACTAATATTTTGTGGGGAACACATGCAAAACCTTTAGATGCCTTTTTTCATCGGCCCAAGACATGAAGGTTTCCAAATCATCACTCATAGCTGGAGGAGAAAGTGGCTGTTTTCCCAGAATCACCTCACCAGTGGATCCATTCAGTGAGATCCATTCTCCTTCATTAATCACCTTATCCCCGACTACAAGCACCTATATTATCGATTGAGATCATACACGTAATAAGGCGGTCTTCGCTCTTATATCTGCTAGACAAAAAAGGGGGAAGTTTCGAATTTACCTTCTCATGGTCATTTACTAAGATGTCGGAGCACCCAGATACACAACACTTCCCCCATCCACGGGCCACAACAGCAGCATGAGATGTCATCCCGCCCCTGGCTGTTAAGATCCCGGTAGCTGCATGCATACCTCCAACATCTTCGGGACTTGTCTCTGTCCGTACCTTCAATGACGCCCAGTCAGAAGAAATAATGGATCAGCATTGCATCCTTTTTGGACTAAGATCACATGTAACAAATTACTTTTTTGTGTGCCAGAATGGAAGCATCAAGGTATGAAAGATAATAGGTTAACATTTGAGAGACTCCCAAGGCAGCACCTATTAGACATCATGTTCAACTCAATACCATGAAATTAAAGTAACATAATCAGGATCAACGTTCACGTCCTCACAAAAATACCCCTGTCCTGTACAAGCATTTCATTTAAAGCACCCACCTTTTCCTTCCTAAAAGTGGATATGTCGATTCAGGTATGAATCAAGAGGAGAAGGAAACAGAGATGAATGAAATATTGGCTTAATAATAATAACCAGCATACCAAGATGGCAGCTTTTCCTTGTGCATGCCATGCCTCAGCATCCTCAGCAGTGAACACAATCTGCCCTACTGCTGCTCCAGGGGATGCAGGCAAACCCGTCGCAATTACATTGTCCTTGTAAGCTGATGGATCCTCAAACTGGAGAAACAATAGTTGAAATAGTTATGACACATAATCAATTTGTACATGAATTAGATAAATTGTTAGACGTATAAATTCCAAGACATTTACATAGTATTTTTTTGAACATGTTCTGATATTGAAAACGATCCAAGCAAACTATGTTAACTTATAAAACACATGCTCCTCTGAAAGCCCAACTGCAAAAGGTTAGTGCTTTTATCTTACTGTTTTAGGTCTCAATACTCATTAGTTGTGTTCTACTTTAAAGTTCACGGTATCAACACATCCAAATACAAGTATTGCAAGGCAATTATTGCTTTAAGTTACTTTGATTAATGCAGAAGTTAAGGGCACATCTCACAATGACCTGTGTACCTGTGGATGGAGAAGTTGATCAAGATGCTGGGGCTCAACCATCTTGATTGCAGAACGAATATCAACAAGCCCCTCATTAACCATGTCTACAGCTATCTTGACGGCACCTTTGCCAGTACGCTTTCCACTCCTACATTGCAACATCCACAACCTATTTTCTTGGACAGTGAACTCAATGTCCTGCACACTAATAATTTGTTGGACAATTTATCTATGGAGTGGTATCTTGTTTCAAGTAGGGAAGAAGGGATACAGAGCAATAGACTTTGGTCGATCTGTCCAAATAAAATTTGAGAATAAAAAATTTAAAAAAATCCATGAAAATTGCAAATTTACCATCATATCCTTATAATGTTTCTCTAGAATTTCACAGTTCTCCTCAAGTTCCTTGTAAGCTTCTGGCATGCAACCTTTCATAGTCTCCAAATCTTCAGGGGTCCTGATTCCAGCAACCACATCCTCTCCCTATATAAAGCCAGTTCAGATCTTCTTAGAAACATCAATATAAAAAACTACTAATCCATGCAGATTAGTGAAGGTCATGAGGGCCAGAAACTCAATTTCAACTTGTTTATGTAACCTGAGCATTGATCAAGAACTCCCCATAAAGTTTCTTCTCCCCAGTACTTGGATTTCTAGTGAACAAGACACCAGTTCCTGAAGTATTTCCCATATTACCGAAGACCATGGTTTGAATGTTTACAGCGGTTCCCTTTAACCCAGTTATCTGATTAATGTCCCGATACTTAATAGCTCTTGGGCTGTCCCATGAATTAAAAACAGCTTTCACAGACAACTCCAGCTGCTTCTTTGGATCTGTCATTAATAATTAGAGATGAGAATAAGTAGAAACTTTTTATTTTCTGTCTTTTATTTATTTATATTTTTTATCAGCTGAAAGCGGGAAGTTTTTCTTGTAACAATCTTAAAAACCACAGTGGGGAAGGATTTGGGTCAGGAGTATGAAAAATCATAAACAATAAATAGTTGGTGGATCCAGAACCTGAGGGAAAGGTTTCTCCACCAGCTTCAAGGTAGACGTTCTTATACTGCTTTACAAGCTCTTTGAGGTCAGCGGCAGTTAAATCGGTGTCAAGTTCAACACCTTTTGATGCTTTAAGCTTTTCTAACTTCTCCTCGAACAGTGAGTGTGGAATGCCCATTACCTCCATATGACAAAAAGAGCATTCAGAACAGAAACAATGACAATGATACTATAATATTCCAAATTCTGAGAAAGATATTAATAGATTGCATTGAATAATGGAGCCGAGCTTCCAATTTGACTCGAGTTAGGTAGCAAAAGTCAACGACATTCACTAAGCAACCGGGAACCAGTTTATTGGATACAGTTTGTAAGATCCACTCACAACATCTCCAAACATGTCCAAGAAACGCCTGTACGAATCGTAAGCAAAGCGCTCGCCACATTTTGCAGCCAGGCCAGCAACCACTTCATCGTTAAGTCCAAGGTTGAGAATCGTGTCCATCATGCCAGGCATTGAAATCTTGTGATATGAAGGCAAAAGATTAGTTTGTGTCATGAGCACGTCAAATGTTTTATGGCAGGGGTCACACTTTAATGGAAGCAGAAATAGGATATAAATAACGTCAGCATGTTTTAATAACCATTAGTGATCCACAATGAATTAAGTTCATTACTAGAGTTTAAACTATTTGCTTATCAAAGTTACTACAAAAAGTTATAAATATCAAAGCATCATTGCCGTCAATCTAGCACCATCAACTTTCCTTATGACGCACACTGCTTTTTACTTCCCATTTGTCATCCATTCCTTTCCTAGGTACGCCTATCGCCATTTTTCCATAAGCCAATTTACATATAAAAAAGTGCCTTACCGATTCTGATAAAAATGACAATACATTGAGACACTCAACAAGGACATAGAGCTTAAACCAAAATACAAATCCAAAAAACAAACAAAGGGACATTGAAAGAAGCAAAAAATAAAAATTTTAAAAATTAATAAATTTCATACCGCAGCACCAGAACGAACAGACAGGAGGAGAGGATTTGAAGGATTCCCAAGAAAGGCTCCGATGTCTTTTTCGACAATGTGCAGGCCTTCCAGTATCTCCTCCCAAAGGTCATCTGGTAGCTTCTTTCCATTCTGTTGATACTCTTGACATGCTTCTGTTGATATTGTGAGTCCAGGAGGCACTGATAATCCAATGGTTGCCATTTCAGCCAGGTTCGCTCCCTTTCCTCCCAACTGTAATTCATATGCGTGTAGCTAGTTGTTCATCAATTTGAAGAATGAATAACCATGGCAATATAATTGCATGCCCTCTTTTTCCCTTAACGTATCCTTTTTATAAAGACCTCATCATACCTCAAAGACCAATTAAAATTAATAATCAATAAGAATCTTAGGAAATGCTTACCAAGGACTTCATGCCCTTGTTGCCTTCACTTTTTCCTTTTCCAAATGTAAACACGCGCTGTTGAAACGAAAACAGAGAAGAGTTGCTTCAGCAGAAATGTTAACATTGAAAATGCTTTCAGGTAGTGATAGTTCTTCACTAACTTTACTTATTAGGAGCAGTCATGTCAACTTTCGAGGGGACTTTGGCAAATCATGGAAAGTTAGACCGTGCTTGCGCATTAAATGCTTGGAAATCAGTTGAATATGATGTAAAACATTGCGACCATGTTATTCACAAACAAAAAAGGAAGCGAAAAGAGGCTAGCTTCTCCTAATTATCTTTTTTGCCACCTCCAGCATTATTCATTACCAAGGCTCTCCTCTATCTACGTCAGAAGTAGGAGTCACATCTAAAAAATTTAAGAAGTAATCAGGTTATTCTTTTATTTTTATGAAAAATTGCAGAGGAAATTTAGGACACAGAAGTGACGTGAGAATTTTCCTTTAGTGGATAACGTCAGCATACAGTCAAAGGAAAAAACTAACCCAGTTTGACTTGATGGGTCAAGGGCCATACCTCGTGCTTCTTTTCCCCCCCCCCCCCGGTTTCTTCTAACTCTTTGGGCTATGTAATCACAACGTTACTTTGCGTGGGGCCTCTTGGACTAAAAGGAGTCAGCCGATGCCCACTATGATTTGATATTGGGCTATTACAATGTTGGGCTTCTCAATGGTCAGATGCGTATTGAACTTTTTATGTTTTGTGAGAATATGAGATACGTTTAGATGTAACTTCATCAACAAAAAGAAATTTGCTTCTGACCCAAAAATTGTTGGCCGAAAACTGAGTTATATTTTGAACAATGAGTTGCGTAATCATATTTTATGATAAGTTATATTTTTGGTAAAAGTAGATACTCCTCCAGTCCTTAATATAGGATCTAATTGTTAAGTTGATTTTTATCTTAAATATAAGACTCATTACTCATATTTATCAGTTTTCTCTAAATTACTCCTATGGATACTCCCTCAACTATAATCAAGTAGAAGAGGAAGATGAGGTATTAAAAAAGATGATTATGGTATTTTTGAAAAAACGTGTCACATTTCTTATAATTAACTAACTTACCTAATTTTTTTAATCTAATCAAATTAGTTAAATAAGTTTTATATTAAGGACAGGAAGAGTAACATTTTCAACGATATTTTCCTTATTTTAGCAGAATTTTTTAATGTTAATTTGCCGAGATAAAATAGAATAGTCTGAGATTCTTTTGATCTGTTAGATACCGCAACAATAGTTCACTTAACAAAAATACGTCTCTAAATGCATCCGGAGATTTGTGCAAGACGATTTTTTTTTTTAATCAAGATGGATGGATGGAATATATATATCGAATTCTCCCAAACATATCCCAAAAAAAAAGAGAGAGAGAGAGAGATGCCAGGCCCTTGCTAAAATTTTTTGCTGAGGGAGAAAAAGAGTATAAGAAGGAAGGAGAGCAGCAATGCGTGTGAAGAAACGAGTACTTATTTTTTACTAAAAGCAGTCACTTTTATTAATCACCGAAAAAAACAAAATGCAATTACATACACCAACAATCGAGGCAAAGAAAGTACCTTTCTGGTGGTAGGTGTTGTGGGAGGAGTCAGGATAGCTTGATTCCGTATGAGAGCTGCGTGTCTCCTGGTTTTGCAAGTCATGATCCTCTTTGATAGGTTGGTTCTATGAAGTTTGATACCTCCACCTCCAAGTCTGCCACACTGCTCACCCAACGAATCCCTGCAACTCTGCGTTTCTTGCTGCCCATAATACTTATTCCCATTCAACACCCTTTGGTACTTGTTACAAGCATCTGGTGTGGGCCTTGTCAGCATCCCTTTCACCATTGAAGACGACATTTCTGCTTTTCCCACCGATCTTCTGCTTCTTCAATGTTGATCGATTTCCTCCTCTGCACCCAACCTAAACTATCTCATCAAAATCAAGCAATAAACGCTTCCTGCTTTTTGTGTGTGTGTGTGTGTGTGAGATCATCAATCAAAACTGTGCAAGATTTGGTAACTTTAAGAAATGGTAGAGATCAAAGAGATTCAGTGTTCTCTATCCACACACACAAGAGGTGCTGCAGAGAAGAGAAGAAAGGAAGATCATCCAATTCATTAAGAAATCCCCCTTGCCTGTTCCTGTGGGAAATACCCACAAACACCTAGTAATCACCTCGACACTAGAGAAACACGGAACTCAAATCATACGTTTCACGTCATGATCGTTCACACACAATTCAATCCAAATTTGGCAAGAAAAAAGAAATCAAGGAGTTCCCGTACGCACCTGGAGCTTGAAATAGGAATATAGAGCTGTTGGGAGCTGATAGAAGAGACTGGCTCCTCAAATCATAAATTGGTGGGAGTGATATTCTCTCTCCTTATTTAATTTTCAGTTTTTTCTGTTTCTCATTATGTTTTTGCGCTTGAAATCAGAGTTCCCTGAAATAAATAAATTAAATAAAAGAAACAAGTAAATGGCAAGTAAATGGGTGTGATGAGACATGAGTGGACGAAATTACAATTATGGAACAGAGAGGCATCTTTATCAACTAAAATTTGACGCCATCATGACCATAATGCCCCTGCTCATGGGAATCAAGCGTATGGGACATGGGAAGGCTTTGGATTTTTTCGAAGTTGTTGCTTTTTGAGTTCTTCCTCTCTCGCTGGGATATGGGTTTGTGGCACACAATTTAATACACATCATATTTCATCAGATCTTTTTCTAATATTTTGAGTAGGTGTTTTTTAAATAGTGAACCTGAATACTTAATTTATAATTTATATTTCCATATTTATATAAGCTCAGATTTATATTTATAACACATCTTTTAGGATCTAATTTTAAACCTTGTTTTATTGATAATTAAACTAAACTACTAAAAGGAATTTCAGAATTAAAGTGGTATGGTTTGTATGAGTATATGGAAGAAAAATGGAGCAAAATTAGATTTTAAGAAAGGAAAAGGCATGAATTCAAGTATTTTAGTTTGAATTGAATTGAAATGAACAGGATGTGGATGAATGAACCTCTCACATCACTTCAACAAGCAGGGGCAAGAATCTTCTAGATAGTTATCCTCTGTTCCTTTGGGATAATTTCCATCCACACGTATTCTGAAAATAAATTCACAAAGAATGACTCTTTAATTTGAATTTTCAGAGATTGATTTTTGATTGGTTAGGCCATACTACTCTTAGAGGATTGTAGATCTTTTGCTCACGCCACCTCTTCTATTCAAATTGTTGAATAGAGCTGTTGAAGAGGGAGCTTTAGATATGAAGTTAGGCTAAGAGGGATGATTTTGTATTTTTCTTTTCTGTTAAAAAAATTAATATTTTAATCCTCATGTAGTCAACCTCTAAATTTTAACTCAATATAACTTAGTCATTAAATTTTAATTTGATTGTAACACGATCTCTAAATTTTGCCTTGATATAACTCAGTTTCTATAATTTTAATCATATAAAATGTTAGTCATTAAGTTTTATGAAATATATAATTTCATATTTTTAAATATGGAAAGTAAGTTTTAAGTAATTAAGATTTTAAGAAATGAGTTGCATGGAGTTAAGATTTAAAATTAAGTTACAACTGAATCAAAATTTTAAAAAAATGACTTGCGTATATGTAAAGTTTAATGATTGATTTACAATTAAATCCAAAATACAAAGACCAAAAATGAGAGTAAAATTTTAAAATAATTAAAAGTTTTGTTGGCTAAACTTTTTTTTTTTCCCGGTTAGATGCTATCAAGTTTTGTGACTTTGCTGGTTGGTAATGTTTTGTGAAAATTTTTCGGGAGGAAAAATATTCCATCCATGCGTTCTTTTATAATTACCACATCAACTCAAATTTGATTGTAATCGATTTCTCACCCACAAAACAAAACAAGACAAGCCATCATACTCCTCCAGTCCTTAATACATGACTAATTTTTAAGTTGATTTTAGTCTTAAATATGTTACTCATTTCTCATACTTATCAATTTTTTCTAAATTACCCCCATGGATACTCCCTCAACCATGATCAAGTAGAAGAAGAAGAGAGAGTGTTAAGAAAAATGATTATGGTATTTTAGAAAAAATGTATCACTTTTCTTATAATTAATTAACTTACATAACTTTCTTAATATAATCAAATTAGTTAAATGGATTTTATATTAAAGACCGGAGGAGTATATAATTTTTTTTTGAATTCGAATATATGTAAATATATAAACCTTCGTTGGCAAAAAATATTTATATTTATATAAACCTTGTGATGTTTTTAACTTTTAACTATCCTTATAATAGTTTTGATAAATAAAAAATCATTAAAATGACTTATTTATCATTTTAAAATTTAACATGTACTTTTCTGTCATTCTCCTAATTAATATGCTATAAACTTTGATCTTTCAGGTTTATTTTTATTTTTATTTTAGATTTTTAAGTTTCAAATCATAATTTTTAGTTTCTCAAGTTTTTTTATTTAGAATGTTGACCCTTATACTTTAATAAAAAATTATAATTTAAAACTTGGAGAATTAAAAATAAAAATAAAATAAGAAAAAACCTGAATTATACTACCTCCTGTTTTTAATATAAGATATTATTTGACTTTTATTTTGGTCTTAAATATAAGACCACAATCCATTTTGTCTCTCATATTTATCCTTTTTTTCAAGATAGTCTTTCTAATAATAATAGTTCTAACCAATACATTTGATTAGTAAGAATGTTTTAAGAAATACAACACATATTTATCATAAATAACTAACTTAATTTTTTTCTTAATCTCTTTAAATTAATTAATTAATTTTTATAAATAGGAGTCGAGGAAGTATTAACCCAATAAACGATGATGAATCTGCGAATCATCCGGAGCCAAAAAGAGTTACGATGGAAGGGTGTACTTCGGATCCACCCAAACCATGACACGTGGCTTCATCATAGACACATTTAGCAAGAATTGTGGTCCGCCGTCATTTTCATTGTATTATCACTATATTTTTGTTTCATTTATTTGTTAAGTATCTCCATCTTAATTAATCAATAATAATTAAAAACTAAAAAACGGGGACAAAATTTTAAAAGAATAAGAAAAGATAAAAATAAAAAAAAGTGAAGTAAATTATAAAAAAAGAACATATGGTAAGATGGATCAGTCTTACCACCTATTTAAAGTGAATATATATACAAGAAAAGTAAGTGAGATAACTTACATAAAAATGTCTTTTTTAAATATTTTTACAGGTTAAAAGTTGTTCGGTAATTGGAATAACATCCTTAAATCTTGAAGGAACTTATAAAAGCTAAGGTACTATTATCTCAAGAATGAGGAATGTGTTCTTATTTACTTTCAACTCTTTCAAACGTTGCCATTAGTTTCATCGTGTCAATGACTAAATTACATATGCTCTTGTTTGCCGTGCATGATTTGGTTTAAATAAATAAAAAAAGATAAAAACGGTTAATTTATTGATTAAAAAAATAGCAACGGTATCATTGGTTCAAAATGTTTAAAAAAGGTTGGATTAATGTCATTATAACTTGTCAATGTAAGTCGAATATCATCATAACTTAATAAAAGGAGTTATAGGTCATCGTAGTCACCTGAGCAACAGAGAAATTGCTAAAAGGCTGGATTAATCGCGGCCGCATTGAATGGGTTGTTGAGTGATTTTTCGACAGGCCATTATTATTTTTTTGGCCGAAACAAAAACAAGTCATTATTTTCATCACTGTTGTGTTTTAGGTAAACCAAGTCCAAAAGAACGTTGACCCCACAAATTTCTATTTCTTATTATTGAACTACTCTAAATAACTGAAAACAAACAAAATGATTTTTAGGTTTCAAGAATGCCATTGATCATTGAATTTTTGTGTTCCAAGTTCACATGTTGGGATCAAGAGGAAGAGAATGCTAGCTGCTTAGGAGCTTATTTGGATTGACTTATAAGTAGCTTTTCAAACGTGATTTATAAAATACGAAGTAAGTATGTGATGAGAGTTTTATCTCGGCTTACATAAACTTGCTTAAAAGTCCGTTTTGAATAAAGTTTCAAAAAAGCCTAAGTCATGAAAGTGGAGTGTGTGTTGGGTTGCTCATGTTCTTCTTCCTCACATAACGCCAGTGTGAGCATTGCCTAGTCATAAGCTCTCCAATCACCATACGAATCTCAAAATTTCTGTCTGGTTCATTAGTTGAATTATAAAATTAAAAAAAAAAAAAGTAAGATGAAACATTGAGCTGCATTTTACTGACAGCACGCTCAATTTTGAAGAGCACACTCAACTTTTATAGTTTGTTTGATATGAGAGAAATGAAAGGAAAGGGAGGAGGGGAAAAAATTTAATAAATTCTATTTAAAAAAATTGAAGAAATGAGATTAAAAGTTTTGAACTAGTTTTGTTTTTTTTTTTTTATCTCACATATTTCTTTATAAAAATTGTATGACCCCACTTTCCAACTTTTTAAATGAGCTCATTAAAATTTTTTTCTTATTTCCCTTCCTACATTTCCCTCACACCAAACACAGGATTAAAATTTTTCCAATGAATTACCTTTACATACCTTCGGTTTTGTTCTCTAATTTGAAGATATTAAAAAAATTAATTAAATTAGTTATTTATAAAAAATGTGTTTGAACTTTCTTAAACTACGTTGTTTAACTATGTGTATTACTATTCCTTGACAGGAACCCCTTATAATCGATAGGGATATTTTTAGAAAAAAAAATTATAAATCTAGGAGACAATGTGAACTGAGTAGAACTAAATCCAACCCTCAATTAGCTCTTATATTAAAAATAAAACGTAATAGTATATTTGCCGTACCTTCTGTATCGGTAAAAGGGCTTGCAGCAAATTGCTTTGTGGCATACTCAATAGATTTGTGAACAAGAAACTGTTCCTTGAATGCTCGGCTGCTTCTACAATGACAGCAACTGTGTATATCAGGAACCCCTTATAATCAATAGGGATATTTTTAGGAAAAAAATTATAAATCTAGGAGACAATGTGAACTGAGTAGAACTAAATCCAACCCTCAATTAGCTCTTATATTAAAAATAAAACGTAATAGTATATTTGCCGTACCTTCTGTATCGGTAAAAGGGCTTGCAGCAAATTGCTTTG